TCCTAGCATAGTCACCAAGGACAGGGTCCATCATTGGGGGCACAAATTGCTTACCAATTTCTGGTTCATCTTTAGCCTTGTCTAAGAATGTCTCAATGAGCTTAAGGGTTTCCCTCTTCACTTAGCGTAAAAGTTTAACCAAAGATGTTATAGAGGCATAGGGCACACCTTCTGTTATGTTGGTTGATATAAGCATTTTGCACACATCAAGCATGTCAAGAAATATCAGTGAAATTTGTGATAGGAAGTTTGTCCCAAGAGAACTTGCAACATTTGTATTTGTCTGCAATATATTAAGCACAGTCCGGATCACGTCTGGATCCGTCAAGAAATCCACACTTTGGCATACCTGTCCTAAAACTTCAGCCCATTTTCGATTAGGAAGCTGCATCAGCCTCTGCAAATATTCATCTCTCCTCTGGGGATCAGATTCTGCTTCAATCATCTGACCAACAAATTAATAAAATTTATGAATCTGGTGGGGCTCCAGATCTGCTATAGTTGTTGCAAGACTAGTTAAAAGTTCAAATACAAATGATTCATGTTCTCCAATCTGTACAATTACAAATTTATGCTTGCACTTCTGAACAATTTTGAGGAGAGTGTCACACGCCATATCCTTTACTCCGGGATGAGTTTCATGTAAAAACTCGAATAATTTATTTACAACTGTTTTCAGGAACTTCCAATGTCCATTTAGATATCTAGGGTACTGTTCAACAACATACATTATGTTACCTGCGATAACAGCTTTATCATCCTTTTCCTCTGTGATTTTATATAACTTGAGTAAATCATGAATCACCATCACTAGAAATCTGTTCTCCTGCTCCTCCAACATGGATCCAGATATAGATCCTATTGCCCAGCATAGTGTGTTTAAATTGTTCCTCCATGACCAATCCAGATCACCTTTCACATGCTTACTCAATTTCTTCAGCATCTGTTTTTCAGTATCCTCGCGATCAAGATGTGATAAGTAGACCAGTGTTGCCTTCATGATCTTATATTTAACTAGGACATCATTGTCCTTCATAGTTTCGCGAACAATATTCCCATTTTCATCTTCAACAATAATAACCTCCTCAGGTTTCGCCATACGACAGATCATAAGTAATCTCATCTTTGACAAAATTAGTTCAAGATAAAGCAATCGCACCTGTAATCCCATCATGTTTGCAGCTGCAGGATTCTCTACATGCGACGTGCCCTAAACAGCTTCGAAGCTAATGAGTACCAGTAATCCAAGCAAACCATAAAAAACTCAGTGTCATCCATATATGAGATGTTTATGAGATATTCAAGACCGATTACAAGTGCAGATATATTCTCATGTGTGTTATTAAGCACTAGAATATGACACTCGAAAAATGAGAGGAAAAACAGAGCAAGATTCCGAATAAATGCCTGCTTCTCACCTGAACCATTCGCATAAGCATTAGGAATGTTCGTAGTAGGTGGGAGAAAGGTCTGCAAATGCACCATGAATCCCTTATACATTTTAGCATACTCCCAGTTATAATAATCTCCAAAATTTAAAGCCGCAACTTTTGTCAAACACAGAAGGGCGAGATTCCGAAATTTTGCTACATTTAAGAAGTATACGAGTAGTTCCAACAGATCAGTTTCAAATATGTATCCTCGAGGTATCTAGGCTAGAAAAGCATGCAACATTGTATGTAAAGCAGCCCTTACAAGCTCAGTTCTTTGAGATGAAAATCCAAACATGACTAAGTCGATAGTGGGGCTCCACTCATTATGTTGTGGTTTTGTGGAGTCTGATTAGGTGAAAGATTTTTAGAAAGATTTAATTATATAGAAACTTTAAGAGTACTGAGTTTTAGGAAAAATTCAGTTTCCTAATCTGTCAGGGAAAATTCAGTTTCCTAATCTGATTTGACTTCCTTATTAGTTTAAGGAAAATTTAGTTTCCTGATTTGATTTAATTTCCTTATTGGTTTTGGATTCTACAAAAAGCAAGTTCTTGTAGGACAAATTTGGGACTCTATAAATAGGGGTGAAAGTTAGAGATAAATGTGTGCCAATACAAGAGAGAGCAATTGAGAGAGATTGAAAGAGAATTCTCCTTGTAATTCTTCATCTTTTTCATAGTGAATTTGTTTGGTGTGCTCCATGGACGTAACCCTAAGATTTGGGTGAACCATGTATATCTTGTGCTCTTGTGTGTGATTTTTTTTATTCTTCGTGATTACTTGTTTATTCCTTGAACAGTGTTGTTTATTTTGCGTTTCCGCTACAACAAATAGTATCAAATCCGGTTGATTGTGTAGTGCAACTCTAACAACTGGTATCAGAGCCTTTGGTTGAGAACCTAGGGCACAGAAGGTGTTTGACGAAATTCTAAAAGTCTTTCGATCAGATCTGTCCGTTCGAGTAGGAGTAATGGCATCAGAAGATAAGACATCCACATCCATGATCGAGAAGTTCGATGGCACAAACTTCAATTTCTGGAAGATGCAAATAGAAGACCTCTTGTTTCAGAAAAATCTGTATTAACCTTTGGAAGAGAAGTCAGTGGATACAAAGGATGCAGAATGAGAATTACTTAATAGGAAGGCTCTTGGCACCGTCAAATTGACATTGTCAAAATCAGTCGCCTTCAACATCAAGAACGAGAAGACGACGATATCTCTCATGGCAGCCCTTTCTAGTATATATGAACAGCCTTCTGCAGTGAACAAGGTGCACTTGATCAAGAAGTTGTTCAACATGAAGATGGTCGAAGGTGGTAAGTTCAACGAACATTTAAATGCGTTCAACGATATAGTTGGGCAATTAGAGTCTGTTGATATCGACTTCAAAAATAAGGTCCGAGCACTATTAATTCTAGGGCAGTTACCCGAGAATTGGAGTGGCACAGTTATAGCGATCAGTAGCTTTGCAGGGAAGAGCAAGTTGAAGTTTGATGAAGTTGTGAGCATGATTCTAACTGAAGAAATCAGAAGGCAAACAGCAGGGGTTTCCACCAGTGGTTCGGCGTTGAATGTTGAAAGTAGAGGCAAGGGTTCAAACAAGAAGAAGGGCAATAATAATAGAAACAAAAGCAGATCCAAGTCAAGGAATGGAAGGACATAGTATCAAAATTTCAGGAATTCCACAGATCTCAATGACGTTGAGTCTTGGAATTGTGGAAAGAAGGGACATTACCGTGTTGATTGCAGACTTCCAAAGAAGGGAACCGAAAGAAAAACTGAAGCAAACCTTGTCTCAGAAGAATTAGATGATGCATTGATATGCTCTTTGGAGAGCAAGGCGGAGTCATGGGTTTTAGATTCTGGCGCATCATTTCATGGCACCTCAAACAAAGAGTTATTTAATAGTTATGAACCGAGTAACCTTGGTAAGGTATATCTTGGTGATGACCAGCCTTGTAGCGTCATTGGCAAGGGTGAAGTGCAAATCAAGTTAAATGGGTCAGCTTAGAAGTTAAAAGATGTGAAACACATCCCTGACTTGAGGAAGAATCTGATTTTGGTAGGACAATTGTCAGATGAAGGTTTTGTTACAACCTTCAATGGAGACTCGTGGAAAGTTTTCAGAGACGCTATGACCATTGCACGTGGTAAGAAATCTGGCACTCTCTACACAACTACCAGTGCTTGTGGATCTAAAGCAATTACAGAAAATAAAGAAGATCACAACCTTTGGCACTAGAGACTAGGTCACATGAGTGAAAGGGGGCTCAAGATTATGCACTCAAAGGGGAAACTACTAGGCATACGGGCAATTGATATTGACTTCTGTAAGAGTTGCGTGATGGGCAAGCAAAAGAGAGTCAGTTTCAAGAAGAGTGGCAAAGATCTCAGAAAGGAGAAACTTGAGTTAGTTCACACAGATGTTTGGGGGCCAACCACTGTTTCATCCATTGGCGAAAAATCATACTTCGTGACTTTCATTGATGATCGCACGAGGAATGTATGGATTTATTTTTTGAAGCATAAATCTGAGGTATTTGATGTGTTCAAGAAGTGGAAGGCTATGGTGGAGAATGAGACAGGTTTGAAGATCAAGAGGTTGAGATCAGACAATGGTGGTGAGTATGAAGACACTGGATTCAAGAAGTTCTGTTTTGATAATGGGATCAGATTAGAGAAGACTGTGCAAGGAACCCCACAGCAGAATGGGGTGGCAGAACGGATGAACCGAACATTGATAGAAAAAGCCAGAAGCATGCGCATACATTTAGGTCTACCCAAACAGTTTTGGGCAGAAGCGGTTAATACAGCATCTTACCTAATAAATCATAGACCATCGGTGCCTTTGAAAGATCGAATACCAGAAGAGGTATGGAGTGGCAAAGAGGTAAATCTTTCATGGTTGAAAGTTTTTGGTTGTATTGCATATGCACATATTAGTGACCATGCTAGGGGAAAGCTCGACCCCAAGTCACTAAAATGCATCTTCGTTGGGTATGGCGGAGATGAGTTTGGTTATCAACTCTGGGATAATCAGAACAAGAAAATTATCAGAAGTAGAGATGTGATTTTCAACGAGAAGGTGATGTACAAAGATAGAGATGCAACACAGTTAACTAGTCCTGTACAGAGTAAACCTGAGTTTGTTGAGTTAGATGATGATCCAGAGAGCATTGATGCGGAACAGACATATGAGGGTTCTTGGCCAGAACTCACAAAGCATAGTTCACCGCAGATTCTAACTCCTATGCTTGCACCTAAAAGGTCTACGCGACCTCATGTACCGAATAGGAAATATTTGGATTATATGTTGCTCACAGATGATGGTAAGCCTGAATGCTATGATGAAGCATGTCAGGTTAAAGATGCTAGCAAGTGGGAGCTTGCAATTGAAGATGAGACTATATATATATGTATATAGTATTTTATTACAATAAATACGTACGTGGGGTAGAATTGAAATGTTACATGTAAAGGTTACAAAAAATTCGTCGTTGACTTTATAGTAGATCATTGACTCTCCAACCCACGACCCTTCCCTATGCGGCACGGATGTCCACAAGTCAACACTTTTCCTCCACAGAGTGAGAGAGAGAGAGAGAGGAGAGCTGAGTTGTCTTGGAAATGGAAGAAGGCTTCTGGTTGCCTCTTCTTGCAGCAGTTGCTGTAATTCTGTTTTCGTTCTTTGTATTCACGAAGTTCTTCAACAAGAAGACAAACACAAGTACAGTTTCAGATTCAGAAACTTCTTCTTCAAATCCTAACTCTTCATCCACCTCCAATCCACTTCCATCTGCCCCCTACGAAGTCTTCCTCAGCTTCAGAGGCCCCGACACTCGATACGCCTTCACAGATTTCCTCTACAACGATCTCGTCGATGCCAGAATTCGCACCTTCAGAGACGACAACGAGCTCCGAAAAGGAGAAGAGATCGGCCCTGAGCTCCTCAGAGCAATTACAGAATCCAAGATTTCAATCCCGATCTTCTCCAAGAACTATGCGTCCAGTAAATGGTGCCTTCGCGAGCTAGCAAAAATGTGGGAATGCAGGACAAGCATGGGACAGATCATTTTGCCCATTTTCTTTGACGTTGAGCCGTCCGATGTGCGGCATCAAACGGGGACTTACAAGAAGGCCTTCAACGAGCACCAGAGGCATTTCGATGGCGACACCGTGCGGGGATGGAGGGAGGCATTGAAAGGCGTTGGAGCATTGAAAGGATGGGATTTGAACAAGGAAACTGGAGGGTAATGTACTCAGTACTCCTGTTTGCTTGATTGATCTCAATTTTTTAGCATCATAGTATGAAAATTGAACTTTTTGTGCATTTTACTTAGAATTTGATTAACTAATTCTTGTGGTTGGGATTGAAATAGAAAACTAAATGAGTTTGTGAGGAATATGAAATAGAGAAAATAATCAAATCTCTCTCTCTATATATTTTTGCTTCCTAATGTGTGTAGAGAAATAAAATAAGAGTTTTAGTTTAGGATGTGGTTGATTTCCTAAGCAGTCATTGATATGCATGTTAGAACTAAAAGAAGTATCAAATTCATAATGTCTGAAATGTAATTTAATCTTTTCTCTTCTGGAATAAGGGAAATATACTACATTTTAAAAAAGAAAAGAGAAGTGAATAACCTTTTTACTTTTGTGGAATAAAAGAGATATACTACTATTTTAAAAAATTGTAAAGTTATTATATAATGTGAAACACAAGATCTGGAAAATATATAATGTTTATGCATTTAATTAATATCCTTAAAAAAATCACCCGTTTTGAATAGATAATCAGACTATTCTCCAGTGACAAGGCCATTAGTGGCCAATTGGCGATGAGGAAGAGTTTCACTCCAATGCCTTTAGTATGAAGTTGATAGTGCAGAAACTCCTACAACTTAGCAATGCCTGCAGAGACATCGCCTATGATGATAATAATGCCATCCACATACACTACAAGGAAAATAATACCTTTTAGTAGATTGATGAAACACTAAATGTTTTTTATGGCATCTATGGAGACCAAATTCTAATGTTGCCTCCGATATTTTTTTTACCCAAGCTCTTGATAATCTATCTGGTTCTGAACTTCTGATACCATGTTAACCACTATCTACTCTAAAAGATTAAGCTATTAGAGAGGGTTTTAAATTTAAATATATATATTTAAGTCTTCTAATACATATTTAAAAGAAGAAGAACCAAGAACAATAACAGATGAATATATATGTATAAGAATAGCCTAACATAGACAAGTAAAGCCAAGAATGATTCATGTATGGAGTACTTCACCTTTGCACCATCATAATTGTTCTCCTTACTCATGCATGCCGCATTGAACTGAATAAAAATAGAACACATCATAATTTAACCTTAATAATGTTTAGCTTTCCCTTCTATTAGTTACTTGTGATCTCCCATCTGATGTCAATTATATACTGCAGGCATCAAGGAAAGCTCGTGAAGATGGTTGTTTCAAAAGTGTTGTTAGAGTTAAAGAAGAATTACATGGTTGTAACTGACAGATTGGTTGCAATTGATCATCACATAGAAGAAGTAAGTAGATTATTAGATTTTCACTCCAGTGATGTAAGGATTGTTGGAATCCATGGCATGGGTGGGCTTGGCAAGACAACTATTGCCAAAGTCATATACAACAAACTCTCCAAGTCCTTTGAACACTGTAGCTTTCTTGCTGATGTTCGAGAAATTTCACAACAAAAGGGTCTTGTTAACTTACAAATTCAACTGAACTCCAAAATCCTAAAGCGAAAAGGCCTCGACATTGATACTGTTAATGATGGACACCAAATGACAAAAGACACAGTTTTTGGAAAGAAAGTTCTCATTGTTTTGGACGATGTGGCTGAATCGTCTCAATTTGAGATGCTTGTCGGAGAACGTGATTGGTATGGCTCGGGAAGCAGGTTCATTGTTACAACAAGAAACAAAAAGGTTTTAGATGATCTCAAAGTAGATGGGGCTTACGAACCACCAACAATGGAACCATATTATTCTCTTCAACTTTTTAGCAAGCATGCCTTTAGGGAGGACTTCCCTCCAGACGACTATGATCTTCTTTCCAGAGATGTTGCATCCACTGCTGCTGGGCTTCCTTTGGCTCTTGAGATTATAGGTTCACTTTTATGTGGCAGGGGGAAAGCGGTATGGAAAGATACATTGAAGAAGTTGAGAAAAAGACCGGATGACAAAGTCCAGGCAATATTGAGAATAAGTTATGAAGCATTAGATTATGAGCAAAAGCAGATATTTCTCGACATTGCATGTCTTCCCATTGGAATGGATAAAGAAACTGCTGAGATTGTACATCTTCCCGTTGGAATGGACAAAGAAAATGCTTTTTACATGTGGGATGCTTGTGAATTTTTTCCTGAAAGTGGGATTGACGTCCTCCTTCTCATGTCTTTGGTGAAAATTGAAAAAGATGATATCTTATGGATGCATGATCAGCTTATAGGCCTCGGTAGAGAAATTGTTCGTCATGAAAATTTCAATGAGCCTGGGGAACGTAGTAGATTGTGGTCTCATGAGGAGGCCTTGGATGTATTGGAGGGGCGCATGGTAAGATTTGGGTGGATCATGTCCTTTTCTTTTTTTGGGTTTTATTATCACTTTCTTGTTCCCTCATTCACAGATGCTTCTGAACAAAATATTTGAGAAAAGGGCTCCTTGATTTTACCTTTTTCCAGAGGACCGTGGATAAAGATGTCCGTAAATCTTCAAGTTACTGTTTTTGTGATACTGGTTTTCAATTCATAATTGCCTTTTTCAAAGGAATTTTAAATATATAGTGTTACCATCTATGAAGTTGAACACTCATAAAATCACAGAATAGCGAAACAATCATTAATCTTGTACTTGTTTTTGTTAGGACACTGTAAATCTATTATTCATATATTGTTTACTTATTTTAAGGTTTTTCATTGGTAGGGTACTAAAAAGGTTGAAGTCCTCTGTCTTGACTTCAAATTGGAGTATCCGGGCCTTTGTTTTACAAGTGAAGTATTCACAGAACTTTCAAGTCTAAGGTTTCTCAAAGTGGATTACGCAGAACTAACCGGAGATTTTAAGCATCTTTTTTCAAAGTTAAGATGGCTTCATTGGCGCAAATGCCCAGGGAAATTGACGCCAACCAATTTTTATCTAAAGAATCTGGTCATTCTTGATCTATCATGGAGCAGCATTACAAATGATTGGCAGGCTTGGAGTCAAATCAAGGTTGATAGGATATACTACTTTTCTTCTTGTTATCACACATACTTCTGGGACAATTAACGTTTCTTTTTCCTTGATGATAATTTTCTTGTTTTGCAGATGGCAGTAAAGTTGAAAGCTCTAGATCTCTCATATTGCAATTGCTTAACCAGAACTCCTGACTTCTCTACATTTGCATGCTTAGAGAGATTGATTCTTAGAGGGTGTAGAAGTATGACTCATATTGAGTCGTCCATTGGGAATCTAATAAGTTTGAGAGTGCTTGACATTAGTGAATCTGCCATAACCAAGTTACCTGATGCTATTGGAAAGTTAGAGGATCTTGAAATGATTAATGCCTCGAGTTGTAGTTTGCAAGGGGAAATTCCTAGTAGTATTGGGAGATTGTCTTCTTTGAGAATCTTGAGATTAGATTCTACCAAGATTTGTCACCTACCAACAAGTATTTGTTGCCTTTTTCGCCTCCAAACCCTTGATTTACTGAGCTGCAATGAGCTTCAATCTCTGCCACAGCTTCCTCCTAGTTTAACTAGTCTACGTGTCACATGTAAAGAAATGGAGGCATTTCCAAGTCTTCCCAACCTGGTGAGCTTGAATGATTTGTACATAAATGAGTGCCCAAATCTTTTGGAAGTCGACGTCAGGACCTTATTTAAATTGAAGACATTGTCCTTGTGCAGAGTCGGCATTAGGACCTTACCGGCAGAGGTTGGTGGTCTTTCTGGGCTCAAGAAACTCGAAATAAAGTTCTGTGAAAATCTTCATTGTATCTTGGGACTTCCCTCAGGTTTACTCAATCTTTTTATAGATGATTGTGAATCATTGCAAAGATTGCCAGATCTGTCAAATTTGAAAATTTTATCAGAATTAAAGGTTTTTAATTGTGCTGAGCTAATAGAGATTCGAGGCCTTGGGAAATTAGAATTGCTGACAAGTTTAAATTTATCATTCTGTGAAGAGCTACGTGAGCTTGGTGGGCTTGAACAGTTAGAATCTTTAAGATACATCGATATAAGAGAGTGTATGTTCTTAAAAAGATTACCAGATGTATCCAACTTAAAGAAGTTGCAAAAATTAGTTGCCATGGGCTGTTTGAACCTGATTGATATTGAAGGTCTACAGAGATTGGAATCCTTAGAACATTTGGATATTAGTGAGTGCATGTCCATAGAAAAAATACCTGATGTATCAAAGTTGGGGATGCTGAAAGAATTGGTGCTTCGTGAGTGCAACAATTTAGTTGGGACTGGAGGCCTTTTGGTTTCGAAATCCTTGGAAAAATTGGATATGTCATCTTGCAAATGGTTAAAAGGATTGCCAGATCTGTCAAACCTCAACAATTTGAAGGAACTTAAGATAAATGGTTGGGATAAATTGATTGAGACCCAGGGACTCGAGAAGCTGAAATCATTAGAGTTATTGAACATTGCTGATTGCAAGTCGCTGGAAAAGTTACCGAATATGTCAAACCTAACCAGTTTGATTACTTTAATAGCTTATGGTTGCGAGAAACTAACTGAAATCGGGGGACTTGAAGAATTGAAATGCTTACGGTTTTTGGAAATTACTGGATGTGAGTTGATTGAAAAGTTACCAAATTTGCCAAGCACAGAAATACGCAAGCATTCATCAGCAATTCTGCTCTCATTCATCAGCAATGCTACTTTTGACTTATCAATATCAAGCAACCTCATGGCCTGGTATTTCAGTTTTCTGTCAAACTATTTCCTTTTTTACAGTGAAATTTTCCTCCATGGCTTGCTAATTTATCTTTTGTTTCTCCATTTTCTGTGTAGTTATAATTGATCGTAGCAAGAATTATATGAACAGAGTAAATTTATTGGAAGTTCAACCTAATTTGCCACAATCTAGATGTCGTGCATGCAAAGAATAATTTGAAATACATAGCAGCACCTGAGTGATTCATGTATGAATGAAGTTCATTAATTTTTGTTGCAATTCTTGTGCATTGATTTCTTAGAGACCTTTATTTGTGTTGTATGCACTTGGACTTTGGTGAGTCTCTAGATAAATTGCAACTTACCTAGTGCATGAAGATACTTTCCCTTTTTCTTTGGTCTTTGAGTGCTAGAAGGCATATATGTGTTCCAGTACTTACATTTGACAAAACTAGACATGTTTTGGTAATGAATTAATTTCAACTAACCTATTTATTATTCCTTGATTTTTGAAAATATCAAGTACCATAGGGAAGACCAAAAGGGCTTAGATTTGCAGAGTGCCCAATGCCTAGTGAGGCCCAAGGGTCAATATAGCAGCAGACCAATTATCACTGAGACAGCAGAGCCAGTCACAGCCTAGCCCACTTATTTTAAAAACATAAATCATTATTCTTCTTGGATTTTTTTTTTTTTTTTTTTTGGGTCATAAATGGAATCATTGAGCAAGCAGTGGACTCCTACACACAGTGCCTTGACTTGTGGGGCATGCCTGAGGGACATTGAATTTCAGTCCCTCAGAATGCACTAGGGTGGCTCATTGAGGATGAGGTTGGTGCTTTGAGGGAATCCTTAGGTACCTTGGGAGATTGTCCTCTTTGAGAATCTTCCAATTAGATTTCACTAAGATTAGTCACCTACCAACAAGTATTTGTAGGCTTTCTTGCTCCAAACCCTTGATTTACTGGGCTTTGATAAGCTTCAATCGCTGCCTCAGCTTCCTCCTAGTTTAACTAGTCTACATGTCACATGTAAAGAAATGGAGGCATTTCCAAGTCTTCCCAACCTGATGAGTTTGGAGGAATTGTACTTAAGAAAGTGTCCAAATCTTTTGGAAGTCGATGTCAGGAACTTATTTAAATTGAAGACATTGTCCTTTTACGAAGTCGGCATTAGGACCTTGCCAGCAGAGGTTGGTGGACTTTCTGGGCTTGAGAAAGTTGAAATAGCATTGTGCAAAAATCTCCATTGCATTGTGGGACTTCCCTCTGGTTTACTCAAACTTTCTGTAGAGGACTGTGAATCATTGCAAAGATTGCCAAATCTGTCAAATTTGAAAATTTTATCAGAATTACAGGTTTGTTATTGTCCTGAACTAAAAGAGTTTCGTGGCCTTCGGAATTTAAAATTGCTGGCAAGTTTAAATGTACAATGGTGTGAATAGCTACGTGAGCTTGGTGGGTTTGAACAGTTAGAATATTTAAGATACATAGAAGTAAAGGAGTGTTGTTTGTTAAAAAGGTTACCAGATATACAGAGATTGGAATCCTTGGAACATTTGGAGATAAGTGTGTGCATGTCCATTGAAAAATTACCTGATCTATAAAATTTGGGGATGCTGCTGGCAAGTCATTGGAAAAATTACTGAATATGTTGAACCTAACCAGTTTGATTACTTTAATAGCTTCTCGTTGTGAGAAACTAACTGAAATCGGGGGACTTGAAGAATTGAAATCCCTACGGTTGTTGGAAATTGCTAGATGTGTGTTGCTTGAAAAGTTACCAGATTTGCCAAACACAGATATATGCAAGCATTTATCTGATGACCCTCAGCTCTACTTTCAATGACCTGCGGCTCTACTTTCATTAATCAACAATGCTACATTTGACATATCACTAAAAAAGCTGCCCGATGTGCTGGTATTACTCTCAATTTTCTGTCAAACTGTTTAATTTTTTACAGTGGAATTTTCCTCAATGGCTTGCTATTTATCTTTTGTTTATCCATTTTCTGTATACTTATAAGTGATCGTAGCAAGAATTTTATTAATTACTCCCAATCAAAATGTCAAAAGGTCACCTTGGTTCATCACTAGCATCAAGTCGACCAGAAAAACAAATATTTGTCCTCCAGAGGATCTCCTTAATGGGCATGGCTCCTTATGAATATGGTAAATTTATTGGAAGTTCAACCTATTTTCCCACAATCTAGATGTCATGCATGTAAAGAATAATTTGAAATACATAACGGCACTCAAGAATGATTCATGTATGAAAGTTCATAAAATTTTGTAGCAATTCTTCTGCATTGAGTCCTTTGAGACCTTTAATTGTGTTGTATGCTCTTGGACTTTGGTGAGTCTCTAGATATATTGCAATATATCTAGCGCGTGCCGATACTTTTCCTTTTTCTCTGGTCTTTGCTTGAAGGCACATATATGTTCTAATACTTCCATTTGACAAAACTAGACATGTTTTGGTAATGAATTAATTTTAACTTACCTATTATTCCTTGATTTTTCAAATTATCAGGTACCACAGGGAGGACCAAAAGGCTTAGATTTGCAGAGTGCCCAATGCCTAGTGAGGCTCAACGGTCAATGTAGCAGCAGGACCGGTTATCCCTGAGACAACAGAGCCAGTCACAGCCTTGCCCACTTCTGGATTACGCTTGTGCTGGAGGTGTGCATATGCAAAACATAAATCATTCTTCTTAAATTTTTGAAAGTTTTATGCCAATTAATGTAGTAACTTGTAGTTACTAAATATTTTTTTTGTCATAAAGGGAATCATTGAGCAAGCAGTGGACTCCTACACACAGCCCATTGGAACTTGGGGGGCATGCATGAGGGACATTGAATTTCAGTCCCTTGGAATGCATTAGGGTGGCTCATTGAGGATGATGTTGGTGCTTTGAGCCAATCCTTAGGTACCTTGGCACGGATGAGGAAATGTTGCCCTCTCTTATTCCGGCTTGGAAGAAGATCCAAAAGTACATCTGAAGAGGACATTAGGAACCAAGTTCAGACATGAAGCAGCAAGTCATTTCTCTTCTCCATATGATATTTGCTCATGCCAACATTGATTGTATTTGTCTGCATTGGACCTTCCATTATTAACTGAAAAAGTGAATAATGAATCCAATAGAAGCAAATAGTACTGAGTTTCCAAATTTATGAGGAAGCATTATCTTCCATAGGAATTTCCTACTTCACTTTTGGACCTTGAGGTGGTGGAGATGTGTTTGAATGCTGCTCAATTAGATTTGTCAAATGTAGTCTATTAATCTTTCAATCTTCTTACTCGAAATGTTTTTTAAATTATAATTTGGTGCATTACTTTTTATTTTTTACCCGAGCTTAATTGACAATTGGTTTTCTCGGATTCTACGCATTTGAGTCTGTATATGTATCTATATTATCCTATTGTGATGTTCCTCAGGTTGCTATCAGAAATTATTTACAAGGTTGGTGTCCGTATCCATCCCACATAGGGCTCTGATATGTATATTATACACATCAAAATGAGTGGTACAAAGCGCACCTGTTTGCGCTTTTGACTTGGAGCCAACATGCTCCACTTTGAATTCCATTTCTGATTTTACATTTCCATTTCTTCAAGCAGTAGTAGTAGGTTTCCTAAAGCATAGTAATATCTAACCAACCTGCTGCTGAATAAGATGCTGGTGAACAACAGAGGTGCAACCAAAACAGATTCAATGCAGCTTATCAATCCATTTTAGAAGTAGGCTCTCCCCCACAACATAAATTTCAATAAGGAACATAAATTTCAATAAGGATGTGTTCAGTTGTATGAAATTAGAGTCTTAGAATTAGAATTGGTGAAATTTAAAAAAACAAAATCGGTTCAATTTTCTTAGTTGTTTTTTTTACACTAATTCTATACAACCAAATACACCTAAGAATATTAGCCTGCAAATATAGAAATCAAGAGTGCTGTCCAACCAAGCAGCAAAGTGGACTTTTAATCGGCCCCTATAATTCTCAAAACGGGATAATTTCATTTACCTCCCTTGAGGTTTGGCGTAATTACGGGCGGTACCGTTTAAGTTTCAAAAATTACACTGACCTCCCCCCAAACTGATCGGCATTTTATTCAAGCCATTGACCATATTAAATGACTAAACGACCCTCTAGTATTTTATTAACATCACAAAAGGAATATTACCTCCGTCCCACATTAGAGGTCTATTTTAAAAAATGGAAGTTTTTAAGGGGACATGCATTTAATGCAATGTCCCCTTTTAAAATTACCAATTTGTCCCTTTTAATTTAAATATATATAATTACAAAGTTTGAAATTTTTTAAAAAGATAAAGGATAATGATGGAAATATAAAATTTATTTGTTTTGACTTTTCAAAGAGGACAATTAATTTGGGATGAAAAATGGACTACTAATATGGGACGAAATATTTTTTTTGAGATTACCATATTGTCCCTAATATTTTATTAATATTACTTTAAATCGTTTTTTCTAAATCAACTAATCAAGGTCAAATATATATATATATATATAATTTTAGGGCAAATCATTTCAACCTCCCCAATCGCCTCCATCTCTATTCTCGTTCTCAACTCTGAACTTGCCCTCTCTCTCTCTCCAACTGCAAGCTACAAAATCTACAAGAATCAGAAGTTCAAAACCCATATATTTCAATTAGACCTCGTTTGGATAGAGGGATTTGGAGAGAAAAGAAAGGGAATGATAGTGTTAAGTGTGTTTGGATAGAGGGAATAGAAAAGAAAAGAAAGGATTGGAAAGGATTTAGAAGGATAACCTATCTTTCTTTATACATACATACATACATACAAATATACACACACACACACATGCACAAAAACGTTTCAATGCTCTAATTAAGCCTCGTAGAATTTCATCGTACAATAGTCTTCAATTCATCGGATTACTCATCGTATCGATCAATACTTTTGTTTGCCACCTTCGAATTCATCTCCTAAATGGAGGACGCGTACGCCAGATCCTCTCACAGAGGTAAATTTAGAGCTTTCTCTCTGTACGTGTGTGTGTGTGAAATTTGGTTTTTAATCAAACGATTTGAAATATTTAAAATCTGTTTATGTATTTGATTCAAAGTGGGAATTGCAGAAATTCATCTTTTTCCTTTTATTTTTCCCTCCCTAAAGTTTCTCTGCAACCAAACATAGTGGAATTAGATTCAAAGTGGGAATTGCAGAACTTCTTCTTTTCCCTTTCTTCCTTTTTTTTCCCTCGTCGAGTTTCTCTGCAACCAAACATTGTGGAATTGGTCTTACTGAAAGGGGAACTTATAGTCTGTGGTGGTTCTTTTAGGATTTCAATGCACCAAAATATTATACTTTGGTGGTAATTTTGAATCAATTCTGGTACAATGGAAACTGCTGGAATGTATTGGCTTTAGTAGGGTTTTGGTGTTTTACTGTATTACCCATCTCTTTTCTATTGTTGGGATTTCTTGGCAATCGAAAATAGTGTTGTATAGTATGAATTTCACTTTGTTCTTTTCAAATTCAGTCATTTGTTTTGTGTTCAATATTGTTTCAGTGGTTCTTATTGCATGTTATGATTAACTGATCATTTGATTAGGTTCTGGAATTCTTCAATGTGGAACCAACGAAAGGTCTTACAGATTTCCAGGTACATACAACTTACAAGTTAGCAGTTGCAGAGAGAGAGGGGGGGAGAGTAACGAGAATAGAGATGGAGGCATTGGGGAGGCTAAAATGATTTGCCCTAAAAATATATATATATATTTTCTGGTGGCCATCATCCATGGACCATGGGCTTATAAATTACAGACTTGGTTAGTTGATTTAGATAGAAAAAAAAAAAATTTAAAACAAAACCCATTACATACAAGTTAGCAGTTGCAGAGAGAGACAGAGAGAGATGAGGGGAGAGTAACGAGAACAGAGGAGGAGGCATTTCGGGTAGCTGAAATGATTTGCCCTACCAACCTCACAAAAAGGGTAAAATAGTAATTTTAATTATTACTTTTCTCTCCCTGTATTGTCCAAACAAGAATATTATTTATTCATTTCTTTTCTCTCCTATCTATCCAAACATGAATATAAATTATAATTATCCTTTTCTTTCTTTTATTTTCACTTATAATCCTTTCCTTTCTTTTTCTCTTCTGTGTATCCAAACGAAGCCTTAATTTATCTGTCGGCAAGAATCGAAAGTTCAAAACTTATTACACATATCAAAACCCATATCAGCATATCATTTCAGATTGTTCAAAAAATCAAAATCCATATCTTTCGGTTTCCATCGTCCACTGTTCCAATTAGGGTTCGCCGTTCGCAAGCTTCAGCAGCTGTCTCTCAACTCTCGGCTTGCCCCCCTCTCTCTCTGCAGCTGCTAGCTTGATGTTGTGGTGTGATTTTAGGCTTCTTCTGCTTAAAATCAATGAATTCATAGTTTGACAAAAACAGAACATTCAAACAACACATTATCAAATCAAATCCAAAACAAAATAATTCAAAATTCAAAGAAATTTTTCCAAGAACCTGCAACATCCGAGCCAATACCTCGTCCGATTTCACCAATTTGGCATCAGCAGCAGCTGTCGGCAAGAATCAAAAGTTCAAAACCTATTACATATATCAAAACCCATATCGGCATATTATTTCAGATTGTTCAAAAAATCAAAACCATATTATTTCAGATTGTTCAAAAAATCAAAACCCATATCTTTCAGTTTTCGAGCGGCTATGGCGATGCGGCAGTGAGCTCCAATGGCGTTCCTCAAGAGCTATCATGTCATCATCGGCAACGGCAACGTTGGCACTCTTAGGGAAGTCCATGCCGTGTCCGGGCTTCCGTGACCTAGTTTCTTCATTTTTTCAGCATCAAGGGTCGCCTTTTTCCTTCGCTAATGTCGGGACACCGATGACAGCGATGATGGCTGCCCGTTCCATATACTAGGTCACATTGCCGTAGGAATGGATGAGGCGCTTGTAGATTGCAATTGGGTGTGTTGGTTTTCGTCCTCGTCATTGACGTGCGTTCTTTGGTGAGAATTGCAGAGACGGAGAGAGGAGAGAAGCGGAGAAGGAGAATTCTAGTTCAGGTTGGGCGCTCTGTCTCTCAACTCTCGGCTTACCCCCCTCTCTAGCTTTTTTGTCTTTTATATAGGTTATTTTAATACAAAAGTAAGGGTTAAAATGTCTTTGCAAAGATAATAAGAACAAATGTAGAATTATAAGGTAAAAAATAGCTTATGTCATCAAAAATCATCATTACCAAAGTCCTATGAAGCACCGACACATGGGATTGGGTCATCGTACCGATGTCGACCACGCATGTCAAAGGCTCCAACGCGTGTCCGACACCTCTGTAGAGGTGTCCTATTTTTTTTTATCATATTTTTCATGCCGGACACGGAGAAGGACACGCCGGCGACACCGGATTCAGATTTTTTGTCAAAATAAATAAATAAAAATAAATAAAAAGATATATACATAAGCTAAAATAGTGCAGCTCGATTGGGATCTTCCTGAATTTATCCGACCGCAGCTGAAGCCACCGGACTGATTGATCAGCGAGATGGTTTCGGATCAAATCTACTTCGTTCCCCTTCGCACACTGGACTTTGATGGTGTCTATTCTACTCTCAGAGTTTAATCAACTTGAACACTTTGCTCTTGGATCTCTCTAGGAAATGATCGGCAGGTTGATGCTTCAGATGGATGTGCTCTATCGCTTTCTCTCTCTGCTATGTCACTTTCTGTCTCACACTACACTTTGGTGGCATACCAAGTGTGTTAGTGACTTAGTGCGTTTGACTTTTGATCTTCTATACAATTAGGGTTTGCCTTGGTGAATGGGCTTGGGCTCAATGATGCTTGGGCTATATTTTGGGGCAAAAAGTTTATTAAATAATGGGAGTAAAATTTGTGTTTATTAAATATAAATTAGAAATTGAGTAAAAATAAATAAATAAATAATATATATATATATTATTGCTGTATCGTTGCCGTGTTCGTGTCCTGTTTTTTTGAAATTTGCCGAATCACCGTATCCGTGTCGTATTGTACCTGTGTCCCGTGTCCGTGCTTCATAGCCGGCGTCATTGTTTACAGATTATTATTCATGCTCTCACTCCTTTGAGCGGAACTAAAAAAGGGAGTAGAAGTGGCTAGGCTAAAAGCGGGACACCACTTCTTTCTTAGTTGGTAAAGTGATTCAAGCCATTTGTTGCCTACAAGATCAAACCTCAGAATCATCTCGGCCCATGTTGATTGCAATTCATCCTCTGTTTCACTGTTTAAACACTCGTGGAACAAACTCTTGAAGTCAGAATTGGCATACAAACTCGCAATCTTTAGGAAGGCATCTTTTGAAATATGCCACAAGCAAAGACGATGGCATGTATTGGGAAAAACTTTCTTAATGGCATTTTCCATCACTTGGCACTGATTTGCAAATATCGTCTTTGGTGGTTGATTCCCCATTCTCTCTAAAAGCGTCTCAAACAACGAAACAAATGAATCAATTGTCTCATTCAAAAGGAATCCACAACCAAAAAAAATGTTCTTCCTCTGGTGATTAACTCCCACGAATGGAGCAAATATCATATCATATTTGCTTGTTCGAAATGTGTCAAATATCACAACATCTCCAAAATAATCATAATCCAACTTTGATCTCCCATCTCTCAAAAAGAAATTTGCCAATCGACCTTCCTCATCTAGTTCCACATGGTGAAAAAACTTTTGGTCTTCGATTTGACAATGGCTGAAGTGATTTATTAGACTTTGCGCATCCCCTCTTTCAATCAAATTCGGTTTCTTTTGATGGCTTACAGAACTCTGATAGTCTCTTTGCATAAACCCGACATTTCCAGACCCACCACTCTCTTTTGAAAGATGGTCTGTCCATCTGATACCATGAAAATGTATTTCATTGACAACACCTGCACTGGCTGGACCTATGTTTCTATTTATCCTTAGAAATTTCCTCTCTTCCGGTACAGCAAACTCATGGTTATGCTCATCATTGAAATGACTAATTTTCTAAACATCATTTTTAATACTAAATCTAATTAAAGCTTTACAACCTGTACGCGTCACTAATCTTCTAATCTTTTTCGGTTCAGAAGGTTCTCCATCACGATAATGTCAAGCATTCGCACACAAGCACTCACGTTGCAACATAATCCCACCTCTACCATGCCCTATATTTCCTTTCCGGACACTAAAACCCTTCCTCAAGGCATACTCACAATATAACCTATATATGCTTCATCTTCACTGTGGACTTCCATTCCAACTTTAAGTTCAACATATTTTCGTTCATTTTCCATATTATCAGACGATGCCATTCGACAAACCAGGTTTATAAATAATAATACTAATACCTGTGAACGAAAAGAAGAAAGGAAAAATAAAACTTACGTTACCAAAATAATATTTATTGGACAAATATTATGAAGGCCGATGACATTTCATATTGCATCCAGACCAGAATATTCTTTAGCTGCTGAAAACTTCCTTCCTGTTTTTTATTATTTATTTATTTTTATTTATATTTTTTAATACACCAAACGAGAAACAAGGCAATCCATATACTTGGAAAATATACCATTCCTTGGTTCTTGGTACTTCCAAGATATATACATGTATATATATCATGTATATATATCTTGTGAATCGTATATGTATTTTGAGTTTAGATGTACTGAAGGAAAAAAAAAAATAAATAAAATAAAATAAAATAATAATAATAATGAGACCATCAGTTCCGGTCTATGAAATGCAATCACAATTGAAATTTTTGCTTAACATCTGCAAAAAGCTCATTAATTTCTGTAAAATGTGATCATAAGTATTGGCATAATTTTTGGAGAGAGACATTTTGTTTAGATGTACTGAAGAAAAAGAAAAAAAATAGGAGACCATCAGTTTCCGTCTATGAAATGCGTTGAAGTTTTAGAAATCAGAGTTGAAATTACAATTGTTCCCTAGCAGAGTCCTAACCCTTAATTTCTCACTCCTCGGCACAAGGAATCAGAAATAAAGATAAAGTCTTTCAATTAAATAGAAATATTTTTTTACCTGAAAAACACTGTAGTGTTTATGGTGGTTCTGCAGCTCTCGGTGCATCAGCGGTGAGAAGTTAACACAGAAATTGTAACCGTCAAGGGTATGAGAGGAGAGAGAGAGGGGGTGACAGTGAGAGTGAGAGATGGTTCTCCCCCTTCAGTTTTCGTAGCGAGAGAGGAGAGAGAGAGAGAGGACGAAACGAGGGCTCTCATCCGTACTCTATAGAGAGAGAACTTCAGTTTGGCGAGGAGGGAAATCTTTTACTTTTGTATTTTGTTCAGTTTGGCGAGAAAAGGGAAATCTTTTATTCCGAACACTTGTCACTGAAATTCACTATCTATGTTCGTGTGTGTATACTAGGAAAAGTGAACCAACTATGATCGTGCGTGTGTATATACACACATAGATATGTGGTGCTTTAAAGCATAATCTCAAGGGCATGTATTGGACCAACCCTGCACTCCCAACCCATGGTACATGCTTTCTCTTTACTACTTTAGCAAACCACTCAGTGGTCATTTGTCCTTGAGTACAACATAATGTGCTGCCATTACTAAAAAGACCAAAGAACAATCTTTAAGCACACGCTCCTCCCTTAGTCCGAGAACCCCATTCATATAATATATGCATAGAGATCACAACATTTATTCATCCCAGCACTTAATTACAAACTGAATTTGATTTGAATTGGCCCATAGAAAATCAGAATGAGATGGAACAAATGGACCACCCTTTTCGGTCAAAGATAAGCAATACACTAGGATTGCAAGCGCGCGTGTGAGATAGAGAGAATTTGAAAAGGTTGAGAAGATAATCTTAATTCAAAATTGATTGTGCGAATTGCAATACAATAACTAGAAAATTTGGGAATTAATAGTTCTATAAACCCACTCAAGCAATAAAGAGTCCACATCCAAATACTTTGCCGAAACCATAAAGACTAAATGAGAAAATGAGCTCCTTCCATGGAACTAAGACCTTGGCTTCTCCTTTTTCTCTTTAAATAGAGCAAGAAGAGAGACACCAGATACCTTGACAACCTTGAATCTTACACCAGGAATATCTCCGACAGCATGCCCCTTACGTCCAAATCCAGCAATCAACACCTCATCCTACAGTAACATACATTTTCCATGCGGTCAACAAAACAAATGGAAGAAAAAACAACCAACATGAACCAATTGAGCGTCTACACTTGGACAGATTACTTACGTTCTCTTCTATGTAGTTTAAACAACCGTCATTGGGGACAAAAGCAGCAATCTTCTTCCCATTCTTAATCAGTTGAACCCTAGCACATTTCCTGATAGCAGAGTTGGGCTGTTTAGCCTCGATACCTCTGTAGACATCAGTAAGGTCATCTGTCAGGTTTGATATGCAATGGTATAACCACAGAGATTTGGTTGATGTCGCAAGGGACATTCAAACATCAACTCAAATTTGGATATATATATATATATTCACTTTTGCCCTCATAACATTTTTTTAAAAAAAGGGGGAATATTACATCCTGAAAACTCTGCTAGCTAATTTAAACAAAAGAAGTAATAATGTACATCAAATTTTAAATGAACAACAAACTATACTTTTGGTTTCCTTTATTTGTGTCACCAGACTCACCACTTCATGGTTGGGCTAAACACCAACCCAAGCACTTGTTACATATAAGTTATATAACAGAACTCCATTAAAATGATGCATGGCCATTTTTTTCTCAAGGAGCATCTATCTAAATAACCCCTGGCCTATGTGAACGATAATAGGGGTAAAACTGGAACGGATGGGGCATCATCAAAGAATATAGAAACTAAGAGAGCATCTAGGCGAGAATAAGTATAAATGAAATCCTGAGGCCAAAATTGAGTTGCCAAAAGAAAAACATACTGGCTGAAGTCTTACATCTTCTCAAGTACAATGCCCTTTGCATGGGAAGACCCAGCAAATGGCTTTTTCCATTCATTGCCAAGGTGTGACTTCTTATATGCCTTGTCAGCCCACCTTTGCCTTCTACGGTGGGACTTCAGCTTGCGACCAGCTCCCATTCCACGTGTTTTCCTGTGGGACAATAAAGCTTCATATTATAAACAATCAACTGAAAACAGGCGAGTAATGACAATCCATAGAAGCTAATTATCCTTTATTGGAAATCACAAGATAATAAAAGAGAACTTGAAAACTGAAACCTTTTCAACCAAAATCGGCAATAAAATTCCAAAAATTCATTTCTTTCCCCAAACACGTTGACAAATGTATGGAGCACTGAGTTTATGAAACATTAAAGACATCAAAGAATGTTTGCTTGCTTTTATTGGTTTAACTAAAATCATAATTTCGTGTTTAATTTAGAATTAAATGATTTTCTTCATCTTTCCTCTATTTGAAATAGCTCCAAAAAATCAAGTTCTCTAAATCTAATTACTTTTTAGTTCACATCCGTGATGCTGCAGCATGCTGTTTCTAGGAATTGTCAATCCTGATATACGAATATAGTGTTTCTATACTAATTAACAAAAAAAAAAAAAAATAAGTGTAAATGTAAAATGTGATACTGCTTCCATAAAACATTGTCCATGCCAGAAAAATCACATAAAAAAGATTGTTTGAATGCATCTATAAGGCACAATGAATTTTGACAAACTGAAGCAGTATATGGTTGTGTAGTCTTGGAAATATCTAATGCCATATGGAAACATACTATTCCTCACATCACATCTCCAATAAGAATGAATGAAAAAAGATACTAGTCTGGAAATACATGGGCATTCATTACCATTCAAAAAGTTTATCTATCATATTAGTCAAGAATTTCAGAGTTTATCTATCATATTTTTCCAGCTATGAGACTATGAAAACCTTGTATAGTATAACAACCCCAAATTTCTGGAGATGCAATTTTCAATCGAGAAGAAGGCAACAAAACATCACACTAATTATGAAATTTACCACTATGGGACCATGGAAAACAAAAAAAAAAAAAAAAACATTGAATTCATCCTCAATTCCAAATACAATCATTTGGCTTAGCTAAAATGTAAACTTAATTTTCTACAACCAAAAACATCAATATCCAAGGTTTAAGTTCTGTCTTCATGAGTTATCTCAGCAAACAAATGGAGGGAGTAAGAAAATCAATAACAAAAGATCTGAACATGGAGCAGCATCTACACTAAGAACACAACCAACATATTCAAAAACACTAAACTTGATTCTAAAAGCTACATGTGTACACATATATATGGGTTATATAAATATATGTATAAATATATATATATATATAAGCATTTATATGTAAGAAGATAATCGAAAGTCCAAATCAAAGCCGCAGTTCATACCCCATGGCGACTGAGAAATTTCTCGACCGAAACTAGGTTTGAGAGCTCGAAGATGACGAGGCAGCAGCCACCGAGTCGAACCCTAATAGTAGTATTAGTACCAAACATGGAGTGGTGTATATTATATATATATATCTATACTGGCCCATTCGGTTGGTATGTGGGCGATCTGGATGGGCCTAAGAAGGTGAGTTTCAGCGTATCCCATTATCGCTGTTTGGGCTGTATTGTTGTTCTAATTGGGGTTACATAATGATTCCGTTCAAAGTTCAAACCGTGATCCCATCTGCTAGCCCATTTAAAATTGTTGAACCACTTAAAAAGAGTACTCCCAAAAAAATGTACATGAATATATTTTATGGATGTGTTTTTATGGGTTATATTAATCAGCTAATTTAGTTGTATTGTTACATTATTCATATGTGTGTGTGTTTTTTATTTGATTTTACCAAAAGCAAGTGTGTTTTGATTTAATTGGTTGGCAATATTAGTTACTGTAGAATTGCATAGCTCATGATGTTTATCAAATTTTTTGTGCTGGTCAAAGAATGATTTAAGGCTATGTCATCAATTGGGTTGCGTGTAAAATCACAACTCCAGCTTTAATGGTTTACATTGTTATCTGTAACGGGTTCCAAACAATCAAACAACCTCTCCAAAAGTAATGTAAGAATACGTGCGTTTGACCATTTGCTCCAAAACTCAATGGATTCATCTTTCCTTAGAATGCCACGGCAATAATGCTTCTTATTGACACTATCAGGCAAATTTGAAGGCTTATCTCTGCAATGGTTCCTGCAAAAATGTCATTTTCTGAGTTGAAGATAAGAAACAAGCTCATGTTTGTGTCATCTTCTGCAGATCAACTGAAATAGACCAGGGCTTGGAAGGCTCTCTGCATGACTGGTAACTTATGTTTAGCATATAAAGAGAACCACATGAATTTGTACAAACCTAGATTGCTTAATTTTCTGCTATAATTCAGTAAACTGTAAAACTAAATATACATTTGGTCCTGTTAACATTATGCATCACCCAGGGTACAAGAAAAGCAACAAAGGATGCCTATATGAAATACTGAATCAGAAGGATTGAACATGGATTAAGACAAGTTTGCACAAACTGATATCTCTGGCATAATTTTTAAGTGACTAATCTAAGATTCACTTATCAAACCAAGATTTTAGCATTGCTAAATACTACAATACATCAAATAAATTAATGATCAATTTTCCGAAGTTCATAGTTTGTAGCTTTCTGTGAAACACAATCTTTATTCTACATAGGGCATCCAAACCAGACTTGAACAAGTCCCTTTACTTGCCAGAGTTGGGTAACCTTGAATTCATAATTTTCATCTACTAAACTCCAAGTAGAAAGAATTGAAGCAACAATTGCAGATATTGCATGCTTGCTATGATGCATAATGCTAATGCATGATCATTAGCCAAAGTAACCCCTAAAGGAGTGCCATATTAACATTATCTCCAAAATAGAACAATACAACAGTTTTTGCTCATCAGATCACTTAATTACATACATAATTTCCTCAGTGATCAAAGGACAGACATGTCTTGCCATTTTAAAACAGAAAAAAAATAAAATAAAATACAATAATTGCGGCGTCTGTCAAAACCCCACACATATGGCAGGTTAAACAAAATAGAACACTAAGCCTTAATCCATTTCCATGCAATTATACTTAAATCCAGCCCCCCGAAGCACCTGTTAAGAAAATAAACTATGAGTTAACATGAACAGGGCAAAACAAAAACAATAACACAATCTGTGAAGAACAAGATGCTCTACCTGCGGAACAATTCATCTATTTCTGGCCCTTTTTCAACAACACACCGATCTTCTTCAACATGTTACCATTTTTCTTCTTAGGTGAGTCGTCATCCATGTCTTCTGAATAAGGTGAATTCATCTTTCCACCAATGGTATGGAAGTTACTGTCAAGCGACCCTGTTCTCTCCACTAATTTCCCATTATGTCCTGTAGAAAGCATAGCAGCAGCTGCCTCGGCTGCCTTCCTCCACTGGTCTGACTGTACCTTTAATTTCCTCAACTCAGCCTCCAATTCTGAATTTGTAGCCTGTGCTGCATCTAGCTGCTCAATAACCCGCGCGGTTTTTTTGCTGCTTCTATCTGCCTCTTCTGTCAAACAGCCAAGCTTCATCAAAGCCTCATGCTCCGCAGCCCTTGCTGCTTCTGCTAAAGCATTGGCCTCATCATTTACTGCTTCACTCTCCACTTCCCACTTCTTGAATTTTAACTTCAGCATCTCATTTTCCTCAGTTATACCCTGTAACTCTGTCTCTTTATCCAACAAACTTGCCCTTAAATCTGTCACTCGTACTTCTGACATCTTCAACTCTGTTTCCAGTTCAGATTCTCTTTCTCTAGACTGATTCTTCTCAATGTTTGTATTCAGCCTCTCATTCTCCTCTAAAATACTCTGCAATTTAGTCTCTTTATTTATCAGATTTGCCTTTAACTCTTCAATATCAGCTTTCGCTTTCTTCAACTTAACCTCCAATTCAGCCTCTCTCAGGCACAATTCTGATTTTGCGTGCTCCACTAATTCATAAGCACTTCTGATCTGCATTGTGCTTTGAATATTTTCTTCCTGGTACCTTCTTTCAGCTCCATCTAGTGCAGATCTTAATTGATTTACCTCATTTCTCATATTGTTAAGCTCTACTCTTAGCTCGTTTGATTCTGCATCTTTAATATTGCCTGAAGGATCTTGTGAGGTTTTGTCATTATTCCCTAAATCAGCCTTTAGTTTGCTAACAAGTCCCTCCAATGATTTTATTTGATCCTTTGATTGCTCCAGTTCCAAAGCCAAAGATTTGTAAGCCTCCTTGGCTTTAAGGCCTTCTGACCGGAGTGACTCCTCAGTTGTTTTTGACGATTCCAATTGCATCTGTGTTTTACTAACAACTTCTAGGGCCCGAGCTTCAGATTCTTTGCAATCAGTGAGCTCAGTTTTTAGTTTCTCAACCAGGGAGAGAGTTTCTGTAAGTTCAAGTCTTAGGCTCTGTATCTTTTCATGTGCTGATTCAGCATCCCTAGCCTGAGCAGCTTCAGATTCTGCCACCCTTTCCAGCTGGAACTTGAGCTTCTGGATCTCTAACATGGCAGAAGCCAAGGCAGCAGAGTCCATAGAGTGCTGCTTCTGAACAGCCTCTAGTTCGGACTGCCATGCTCGATCTCGGTCGTGGGAGATTTTGCGGAGCTCCTGGACCCGAGTATCCTCAGAAGCAGAAAGCTCCAGCAGCTGCTGCTGGGACTCCTCGAGTTCTGCTGACATGGCTGCAAGCTGCTTCTTGGTCTCTTCGGCCTCCTGCTGGGCCCGTCTCTTCCATAATTCGGATGAGCTCAGCTGGTCTTTTGCCTTCTTCAGTTCCTCCTGGAGCTGAGCAAGCTGAGATTCCAGTTCAGGCACTCTGCTTGGGCGCTTCTTCTGAAGCTCAGAAAACATGGGATTAGAATGTGAAAGTGGGTAACTAAAATAGTACAGAAATATGCAAAAACAACTACCACCACATATCATGACAACAATACTTAAGGGAATTATTAAAAAGAAGAAAAAAAATCTTACAGCAATCAATACGTCTAGATAATTCAAATGGTGCAAATATACACACAAATTTGAATAACATATGTAATATGAATAATGAATCTCATAGTTCCAGGAATCCAATAGATTGAGCAAGCCATGAAAAGCAATGAAATTAATTCCAGATAATGACAAACAAGTTGTGTGAGTTAAGAAATAGCAACTGAAACCCACACCCCACACAAGCACCCAGGAGGGAAAAGAAGCAAAATGAGTAGAAGAAAAAAGATCTTAGAGAACCATTCTCTATGCATGGTTCTCGGATTGTTTTAACTTAAAGAACACTAAAAATTCTTCCTTTTCTTTTCAGATGGAAATAATTAAATCTAACAATTAAAATAAGTAGATAAAAAGGAATACATGTGAAGGCAATACCCATGATATAATTGTCTTATGAGATATCAAAAACCCACTACCAAAATTACAATGAGGCTTCTACATCACTTTGGTAACTTCAGTCAATGCCACAAACATTTTTCTGGCATTATCATCTCTAGATGGAACATTGTTCATTCTGGGCAATATTTAAGAGCTGTAAAGGTTTCCATATCACCATCATGAAAATGAATATCTTATAGTTGTAAGTTAAAATGTAGATACCTCTGGCACCGGACTTCGTGGTGACCTGCGCTCAATTACTTTAGGACTTCTGTCTTTGGGTGTCCTGCTTGCTGGATTTGGGGAGGAAACAGAATCGGAATCTGACCCAGGTGTCTTAAGCTGGCGAGCAGTTCGAGGTGCAACAGGAGATGCTCTTTGAGGCACTTCCAAGGAGCCAGTTCTGCTACCAAAGCAAAGATAATGAAATCAGCAAAAACAAAAACATACATAAAGATCCTTGAGTTCCAGTTAAAGCAATGAAATTCGAAAAAACGTCATGGAAATAAAATAAAAGCAAAAATGAAAAGGAAAATATTCAAGCACTGGTTTAACATGGATTAAGTCAATTATAGATTGAGGAATTGGTATATAGTTTTTAAATTGTTACGGACCAATACTTGCGACCTGTTCAAGCATCAAAATGTACAATGCAGGCTATGCTTAAGATACACTAATGACCGTTCTGTCCAGTCTCAGCAACATCCTCCACCATGTACTTAACCACACACATACAAACAGACAAACAAACAAAATCTCACATTCTCTACCAAACAGAATTTTGTAAAGCTCCAACATTTTACAGAAATGCGTACACTCTTTCTCTCATTATTCTCTTAAGATATGAATTAAGATTTAAAAGATTAAGAACACCTGAGTTAAAAAGAGGACCAAAAGATGACAAACTTTGAATTCATTATTAAGGCTCCAGGCTCCAGCTGATGCTTGCAAGATACCAGTAAGGCTATCAACAATGCTGACATACATCGACAAGACATATGTCATTCTGAAATCCTTATAAATAGAATATCAACATTTATTAACTATAAAGTTTAAATAATTTTGAAACTCGTGGCTTTGGCCAAGTTAATACTGATAAAAAATAGAGAGAAAAAAAATGATATTAAAATGAAGATTTCAAATCTTCTACAATATTTTTAGATACTACTATGACAGTTTTGCTAATATCCGAATCTGGCACAGACTAATGTGGTGGTCGTTGAAGTGTGCTTTTGGACCATGCCTTGTTGACCATTCATTTATCCTTCCTATATCCACATGGTGTGTAATTTACTATTTGGATTCTTCGTTATTTCAAAGTTTTCTGCATTTGAACATACTACAAAATATCATCATTATTGAGCTAAATCACCAATAACAAGTTGAACTCATGACCAATTCAACAACTGAAACTGACACTTTAAGCAATCTATACATAAGTCCAAAACCGCAGATGAACATGACCCAGAAGAGATAAGAGCTGATGGGAATATTTTAATGGGCAACTTCCATAGTACTAGCCAAAAGAAGGTATCAACATGGATGAGAAGATAACTGCATTACTAAATTTTGAAAATTGAAGCACATATAGTATTACTGTTTAAGAAATAATACTTATCCAATAAAAAAAAAAAAGTATAGCATGTAAAATTCAATTATGTGAATTTCATAACAACCAGTATTTGATGTATGAGGAGATTAAAAATATTACAAGATCAGTAGAACAAATGACATATATACCTTGCTTTTGGTGTCTGCATGTTCAACCTCTTCTTTCCTAATAAAAGGGCAAACTAATAGCACTCTGCTTCAAAGCCCCACCTGACCCACAATACCTGCAAATAGTTAAGAGAAATCATCCCCATTCCCCAAAGAAAAGGAAAAGGAAAAGGAATCTGATATATAAATGTACAAACAGAAAATTAATGGGTTGATGAAGGACCACCAACCTGTAATTAATATTCATTACAGAAACCAACCAAACAAACAGAAAACAAAATCCCTTCAAAGGAACTCCACAGAAACTACCACCAATGCCACCAAACAAATCAACCAAGCAGGAAAGGAAAAAAAAAAAAAAGAGGTAGCAATCAAAAGAAAATTAGAAATCATTATGCAAGCCATCTTTCCACTTTTTTTCTTTTCTATACTTTTACCAGTCCAGTCTTTATACTGTGCCCAAACATTATTGAGGTAACAGGATAAAGGAAGCAATGAATAACAATTAACAATGACATCCCACATTACATTATACATCATACACCGCGTTGAATTGCCCCATTCACTGAGTAACCATTAAAGCCACTTCATGCAAAAAAGGGGAGGGGGGTGATTCAGTTTTAACCACAGTATTTTAATATTTTAATCTATTGATGGTTTGATTCGCAGTTTCTACTTAATCGACTTTATGCTGCAAATTAAAGCAATGAACAATAATTCTTCAAAAATAGACCAAACAACTTGTGAACAGATGCTCTTCAATGTTCATGAAAAAAGAGAATTTTGTTCGGGTTACTTTCTTTGAATTTTCCTTGTTAAATACCCAGTGTTCTTCAATTCATGGAAAATAAATCCAGTGTCACTGAACCCAGAGATACGAGACAGACAAAACAGAAAAAGAATCCGTCCGAAATGTGGAACCAAGAAAAATCATTTCGTAAAGGGAGGAAAGACATTCATGCATTCAGATATACATAACATAAAATAAAATAAAAAAATGTATGTGAAATGTTATACAATATACAGAGAAAAAAACTATATATATATATGTATATATTGTGTAGTTAATAGTTCAAAACCGCCAAAACGTGGCCAATCTTCATGTGTTAAAACATGTGAAATGTTATAAAATATACAGAAAAAAATTGATCTGTGAAATTAATGGTTCTAAACCTTCAAAATGTGACCACTCTTCGGATTTCTTTAACCATTTATGATTTGTGAAGTTAATAATTCAAAACCGCCAAAACGTGATGAATCTTCATGAGTTAAAACATGTGAAATGTTTTAAAATATAAAGAAAAAAAAAACAAAAAAATTGATATGTGAAATTAATAGTTCTAAACCTTCAAAATGTGACCACTGTTCAGATTTCTTTAACCTTTTAGATCTATTGACACTCCAAAAAAAACCGCATATATATACACAGATAGACATATAAAGAGATAACCTATAAGGAGTGACTCTTCATGCTCTTACAAAAGAAAAAAGAGCAATAACAAAACTACAGAAGAAAAAGAGAGAGAGATAAGTAAAACTAATAGACTGCAACATTCAAGCTGTCAAGGTCATTCAGTAACCAACATTCTCGTTCCAAAGCAAAAATTTCCCAGAAAATGAGATTTCAATCAAACAGCATTCATACCATACTAAAATCCAGAGGTCTCTGTTTCCAGAAGAATAATCAACCCCGTAAAAAACTAAAATTTCTCAGTTAAAATCAGTAATCTAAAAAAAAAAAAAAAAAAACCATAACCCAGAAGAAAGAGATAGAGGAAAAAGAAAAATAATTTGTTAGATTAATGAATATCTGATGTTCTTACCTGAAGATTTTGTATGCTGAGACTGGGCTTATGTTTTGGTGACTAAACTCTTCCAATTTTGAAGACAAGAAAACCCTAGTTTTGGGATGAGGAGTTGTCGTTCGCAGGCTCAGGTGGTAGCTTTCCGCCGATGCTACTGCTTCTGCGCGCAGTTCCCGAGTCACACACTCTCTCTCTACTTTCTCTCTCTACTCTCCTCTCAGCCAGTTCTTGTCAGCTAGGAAATATGGTCGCCCGAATACATTTGCTAAGTTGCAGTAAGGCTAGCAAACCCACGCTCTTGCTGCACGCGCTTTGACACGTTACGAAAACTAAAAGACATAATTGCCCCTCAAAATTCAAAAGTGTAATGTGATGTATAATGATTTGTAAAATTAATCTGTTTGGTTTGTAACTCTAAAAATAACTATCAAGAATTCAAAAAAAAAAAAAATTATAGTAATTTTTAAAGAATAATAAAAGACAGTTATTTTATAACTGAATTTTCAGAAAATTAAACTAAGCAAAATTTTTTGTACAATTTTTTTAAAATAAAAAACTGTTCTCAAAATTATAAATAGCTTTTACGTTTTAGAAAAGCATTTTGGAGAAGCTATCCCCTAGTTTCTTCAAAACGCTCCTCTTTTAAAATTGTAAATCGACTCAATAATTATGATAAAAAATACTATCTCAGTCTTATATTAGTTGTCCACTAGAAAAACTTTGACTCACAATTTTTGTGAGCCAAAATTATCGAAGTGGACATCTAACATGGGATATAGGTATTATATAAGTATATAAAAAGAATAAGACTAAAAATGACCTCAAATGATTAAAAAATAAAAGATAGTAGTGAATCAAAGTTTTTGAAATAGACAATTAATATAGAACAAAGATAATATTTTGTAGATAATTGTAAAGTATTAATTAGTTTACCATGTGAAATTAATATTGAAACTTTAATATTATATTTCTATATATACACATATACGAGGGAACATTATTGTTAGATAATCAAGAAACAAAGACCTATGCTGGTCTTGAAGTCTCATTTTTCAAAATTATTAGGTTGGATGGAGCCAAATTGTACTGGTTGAGCAATATCCTACATAACAAGGCAAACCAAAAGTCATTCATTTGAAATTGACTCTAGATTTAAATTATCCGTCATTATTGATGTGCCAACTAAATAATTTCAAATTGACTCTGAACAATCACACAGTCTCATCGAATATATATATATATATATATATATATATATATGTGTGTGTGTGTGAAATTGATTCTGAGTATTTTCACGATAAAGTAGTAAAATAATGATATATGTAATATAAAAATTATTATAATAATAATATAATTTTATTTTTTAATTCATTTCAGAGCAACTCTTAATATATAAATTATAAATTAATTAAAATTTTATACTATTATTATTGAATAAACGTATAAAAATAAAATTTTATATTTATATATGAATAATAGTCGCCTTAGGCCGCATAAGAAGGAACATCCTTTTAATGATGAGATGGCTCAATAAAACATTAACACGTGTTTAAGTTTTTTTTTTTTTTTTTAAAAAAAGATGAGAAACTGACCCTTTCTTTTTCTCTCTCACGCAGTAGCGATATATATTATTGATGTGTTTTGAATCTAAAATCTAAAAGAAATATATATATATAATCCTATTTGTTTTTCTAGGTTTTTTTGTATTGAAATTAAAATTTTCAGTTATTTTCTTTCGCTTATATATAAATTTTAAAACTTTTCATGTTCATCTTCCTTACTTTTTCTTTCATTTTCTCATCCCAATCTCTCAAAAAATTCAAAACATTCCATGTTCATCTTATTTTCTTTTGTATCTGATTAAAACTTCTCATCCAAATTTAATTGTTTAAAGATGATTGTCACCAAATAAAAACAATAAAAATAGATCCATTAGATTTTTCTATCAAAAAAGTTATTTAATTTGGTATAATGTGTCGTTCATACATGATATATAATATGTAATTATATATTTGAGGGAAAGAACATCATCATTCGTGATAAAACTAATATAGGCTTAGGGTCATTCCCCAACTTGGCCCCACTCTTTATAATATGTGGTGTATAATATATATATATATATATTCTTTAGAACAATGTTTGATATATATAATCCTATTTGTTTTTCTAGGTTTTTTGTTTTTCTAGGATTATATATATATATATATAATCCTATTTGTTTTTCTAGGTTTTTTTGTATTGAAATTAAAATTTTCAGTTATTTTCTTTCGCTTATATATAAATCTTAAAACTTTTCATGTTCATCTTCCTTACTTTTTCTTTCATTTTCTCATCCCAATCTCTCAAAAAATTCAAAACATTCCATGTTCATCTTATTTTCTTTTGTATCTGATTAAAACTTCTCATCCAAATTTAATTGTTTAAAGATGATTGTCACCAAATAAAAACAATAAAAATAGATCCATTAGATTTTTCTATCAAAAAAGTTATTTAATTTGGTATAATGTGTCGTTCATACATGATATATAATATGTAATTATATATTTGAGGGAAAGAACATCATCATTCGTGATAAAACTAATATAGGCTTAGGGTCATTCCCCAACTTGGCCCCACTCTTTATAATATGTGGTGTATAATATATATATATATATATTCTTTAGAACAATGTTTGATTTTAGATTCAAAACACAAACACACAAATAATATATATAGCTTGAGAGAGAAAGAGAGAAGAGTCAAAAACTATTGCCTGTAGTCATTATTATTATTATTATTATTATTATTTTTTAAAACTTAAACACTTGATGATATTTTATTGGCCACCTCATCATAGGAAGAAGGTTCCTTCTTTTGCGGCTTAAGGTAATCATTGTTCTTTATATATAGCTGTATGGATGTCATACTTGTGCCTTACTTTTAAAAAATTTGACGTGTCACATTATTATATCCGTATCACGTATTCGTATCCTTACTACATAACTTAAAACAAAGTTCAATATTAAATAACCTTATTCTACAAATACACGTGTGTAACATTATGTTGGCGTGTGTGACATTACTCATGAAGTCGTAATGGTCCAAAATCATGTAATTTTTATTTATTGGGTTAGATGCATCATGACAAAGTCGTAAAAAAAGGACCATATATTTATGTAGATATGTGTGTATCTAATGGGTGGTCCACACAATGAAGTAACCCACTTCCTTCCACAAATCCCTCCAAATTCCGAAATTTTGCCGGGATTTAATCTCAAGCCCCTTTTACTATATTTTAGAAACTTTACTCTAAATCATATTCATTGACATTTTGAGATAGAAAGAGTATTAGTATTCATCTTATAGAATGCTTTATTTTTGCCAAGGATAATCAAAAAATCAAAAAGGAAAAAGTGTAAATTGGATAAGATGTTTTGGGATGCTAAGGTTTTGCTTTGTTTACAAAGAAAGCAACCATATTGCCATCAACAACATATGTGGGCTACCCTTAACCTTTGATGATGTTGCCACAATGAAAGCAACAGTTCCAACAGCTCTTGATTTTGATCACTTCCACTAAACGCAAAACTAACTCACACTTCAATTTCATTGCCATTCTATTAATTACTTTTTACACCATATTACTAAAATCATTCTCACTATATATATCATTATACTATCTTACCATATCAAAGTTGCCACCATGCCTCTTGCTAGGCCCATCATGAATGATGACGTGTCACCGCCCTTGTACTATTTTGAAAGGGCACATATAGTACTGGTCAAATGAGTAAACTTCGTGGGGGTGATACGTCCACATTGGAAGATGTATACAGTAGCACTACTTGAAAGGGACCAACACCCCCCCCCCCCCCCCCCCCCTCTTTTTTTTTTTTTTTGCAAAATATTTACGACAATTAAATATTAAAAATAGATATATTTTTTATATCCAAACAAAGGGAGTCTTGGATATGAAATATTGAAATGAGCTATTTGGGGGTAGTTGAGTAACTTACAAACAACACAAACAAATACATAACACATAAAGCAGCTACTTCTAAAGAAGTGCTTCAACTTTAGAGACTGGTAGCTTGCTTTGTTTGTTTGTTTGTGATTTTTTATTTTTTATTTTTGGATTTTAAAGCCACTGAATATATATATATATATATATATAAAAGAAAATGGTAATAATTACAAGAAGGGCCATTAGGCCAAATCAGTCCATTGGACTGAGCAAACAAGCCCAAAAGAGAGCATACAGGAGATAAGCCCAAACAAAACTAACAACCTACATTAACGATTTTTGAAGACCGTTCATGGAGGGTGTAAGTGCGCTACTCCGGTTAGACAATAGTTGGCTACCAAGAAGATGGAATCTTTATGGCTCCAGTATAGAACACGACAACTTTGCTCAAACAATTAAGTTACAATTGAGGTCTCACACACACACATGCACACACATATGTGTACCATTTTGTTTGTACTGTGATTTTGATGTTATTTAAGTGAGGTAGGGGAATGGATAAAAGAGATGCTACAGTGAAGTAAAGACGTATGGTATGGAGACAATTCTTCTTTGAGGTAGTACAAAACAATGCTCTTTATTCACGAGGAAAGGAAGGTTCCTAGGCACCTAGTTCCTGTCTCATTGAGTGAATGAAACACGAAAAAAAGTGTGAACCTTTTTTAATTATTTGATTGGAAAGTAAAGAATGGGAGGTTTGAATATTAGTAATATTTTACCATTTGTATCATTTATTATATGAATCAAGAAGCATGGCAGAGTTAAAATTATAAATTTATATACTAGGATAATCGTTTTCTTTTATATTTTTTCTTCTTAATTTTTTGGTGTTGTTTAAGTAAAAAGTCATCACACACCTACAAATGTCCTCCAATTCTTTAATGTTTGTACCAACTAGTAATGACCTTGTAGTAAAGTTCTTTCAATTTTCTTCAACAAATCTTTTTCTTTTATAATTTTCCATCTACTATTTGCCTGTGACTTCTCTTAAATGAAGATATTCGTTTTTGGATGACGACTTAAGATCAGACTCATATTCACAGAGGAGATTCTACCTCATGAGAACGCTCTTTAAAAAAACTTTAGCATTATCCCGTCCTGACCATGAACACAACCGATTTTGCTTGGAAATGAAATCGAAAGAGAGGCTTCATCCATCATCCCAATTATTCAATTTTTTTCCCTCTTCTTTCTTCCCTACCAACCATAGTACTCCCTCCCTCCTAAAATAAGTGTCCATTGTGAACAATTGAACGCCTATTTTGAGAGAGAGGGAGTATCAACTTATGGAAGAAAAATCTAAGTGATAAAAAATCAAACCCCTATCCCATCATTGGACTCACATCTATTGTTGAGAGACTGAGAGGCCCAGACATCAGAAGGTGGCCCAAAAGGAAGCATATGTGGTTCATTAAAGGAAAGGGACAGGCCCTTTTCCAGTCAAAATATGTATATGACCCGTCACAATAAATTTTTAACCCATATCAAGTGTTCCCCAAGATGTACATCACCTTGTACTCTGCATTTAGTTTCTAACCCATATGTCAGATTAAAAGTTACACACACAAGTTACTTCTACCAGTAGGTACTATTCAATATTTTACCTAATACATGAGAAATTATTGGAGGGGTAAAATCCAGGTCAAGTAGCTATATTGCATTTCAGCCCAAGGGCTCTTGAATTCGTTCCCATTCTAAAACCCTAGTTCCAAGGCTGTTCAATTTAAATTTTAAATTTAACGAAGGGTACTAATAATATTCCCGCTCCAAAAATTATACGCGCTCCAAATCTTGTAGATACTAAAAGAAAATGACGGTACTGCCCTTTAAAATATTTCTGATTTTCAAAAATGCTTCTTAAGTCCGATTTTTCAATTCCATTTTTACAGCAGAAGAGTTTTTATCCTGATCATGTAGTGAATAAAGTGTTACAAGAGATGGTCTTTGTCTCAATGGAAAGTAAAATGGGTATATGGTTCCGGTGATAGCTCACTTAATAATTTAGATTTTTGATCGGATTACGAAAGATTCGATTAGTTATAGTTGATATTAAAGTCAGATTCAATGTTATGCGCGTTAAGCGTTGCCTGGAAATTGTTTGTGTGTGTCATCCCGGATAGGCAGAGTAACTCAACCGAAACGAGAACGTCCGTGAGTGTTAATATTATCTAATAACTTAAATTTTTAAATTGAAACGCAAAGCATTCGCCCTATCTTATTTTACAATAAGACTTATACTTGAACTAATTCACTGTATTAAAGGAATGAAAACTCCTAAATTAGTAGACTCCATGGTATTTTTTTTTTATCATTTTTCTTTCCTAATGAAAACTTACTCAATTTTGTTCCCCAAAATTTTGAGCAATTGAAGAAAAAAAAAGAAAAGAAAAAAAACTTAAAGTCCATAGCCCTGTGCTGCAATGAAGCAAAATTTAAGAACTTTTTCGCTAACAACGAATTTGGGTTTAAGAATGTCATCTTCCTTCACGAATAAACATCAAGTTTGAGGATGTTATCAAATATCAATCTATAGAGCTTTAGGTAACCAAAGGGGTACTGGAACTGAAAACCTGTGTAAATATGTATATGTGGTCTTTTGATTAGGTTCCCATAAATACAAAATACAAAAAAAATGAATTTAAAAAGAGATCCCAAGAAAATAGACGAGGTTAAAAAAGAAAATAAACGAGGTTAGCAAATTCTAAGAACCCTTTTGCTAAGGATTATTGGAGGGTAGAGTTGTCATTTTATTTTATTAAAACATGAATTTGGAATGCTAGAGGAGATTTCTGGAGTGCAAATAGCACCACCCTTCATGAAAACTCAAAAACCATTTTTCTCCGTAAATTCTACTTTAAAATGCATTTATAAATTAATAAGATTCTAAATTAAGAAAAGTAATTTTAGTGTTATTTTCTATCCTTTTTAATGTGTTATTTATCGAGATAAAAAGTTAATTGCAGGATTCATATATTTAAACTCTGCTTTGTGGTAGGCCATCTTCTTTCAAAGAAAAATATGTATACAAATTTTAAGTCACAATGGAGACGTACAAGTATTACTAGTGTCTTTTGCCACAAAAAAAATATATAAAAAATAAAAAATAAATAAACTGACTTGAATACTGCTTACTTGCTCAGGGATAAAGGTCACATTGCGCTGCTCAAATTTTATTTGCGACTGAAATAATTTCATCACGGATTTCTTTTCTTGGTTTTTATTTTCAAATATTTCTCTCACATATTTCACATACCCTACCCTGGTCCTTATCTTTGTGGAATATAAAGGATGTAAACCGAAGTGGTGGTGTTGGTCCAGTGAAATAGCGAGTGTAAGTTTGAAGCAATAGGTTATTATGAATGATTCTAATCATTGAGGCAGTTTTGAACATCCACGACATATCATTCTAAATGTAAAAAGCTAAACATAATGAATGGTACCATTTAAATGTGGAATAAACTCTCCCTCTCCCTCATGTCTCCTCGTTGCCGTCGAGGTTCCTCTCACAGAGGTTCTCTATTCCCAGAGATCTCTCCATGTTTGCTTGTCTCTTCGGGATGGTTTCTCTTTCTAATCCAGTTCGAAGTTCCGGTGAATGGTTGGGGCGGATGAGCCCATGGGTGTTGCGGATTGTCGGATCTAGTGGTTTGACTGGCGGATGGACTCTTGCTCAATATCCGCTGCTCTTTCCTTTTGATCTAGGCATTGTGCTGGTTCTCTTGATTTGCCTTTTTGTCCTAATGTTTTCTCTGTGTTGGTTTGGGTCATCCTTGTTATACTTGCTTGCCTTTTTCTTCCTCCATCACCGGTTCTCCTATCTTTGGGTCTCCATGGTGGGAAAATCATTTGTAAGCAATGAACTTATGTTTGTTGCCATGGTGGGTGTAGTAGGGTTTTGTCACCTGGTGGGTCTGCTTTGGGTGAATGGCGTTTCAAGTTATTGGGGCGTTCTGTTTGCCTTGTTTTGGGTTCCGGAGTATTCATATTATCCTATTGCACCGCGTTTCGGGCTTATGCGAGTTGGTCGGTTTTCCGCCGCCGATTTGATCATTCTTCCTGTTGCTTCGGACAGTGCTGCGTTTACTCCGGCCACCCATTGACCATGGGTCATGGCTGGGTGTAGCCGGAAATTTTGGTCCGGCTGAGCAATATTTGGTGCGGAGGACTTCCGGCGATGGATCAAGATTTCATGTAACAATGCCGGGGATGGTGTTTCGCCGGTTTATTCTCCATACCTTCCGTCAAGCGTTCGTATGGCCCAACGTCATCATCGAACATCCCATTGTAGTCAGAGGGTTTCTCAAAAGTCCACAATTATTAGGGTCCTGTTCCATTAGCATAGGGAATACGTCTTTATTTAATATTCTAAGTCTACAGCCTAGTTGTTGAGCCTCTGATGGTGGGATGCTTGTGTGTTTTTATCTGTAAGTGTCATTTGGCTTTTCTTATTGCCAGGTTAAAAAAAATAATAATAAAATAAAATAAAAAAATAATGGTACCATTTAGAAAAATTGGAGAGGTATATTCCTCCTACTTACAAATTTTTTTTTTTTTTTTTCCAAGTAATGCACACTCGAACGATCTTCTCCTTTGCAAGGAGGTGGATGTTATTAGAAATGACAAATTTTTAAAATTTTAAACATCATTTAATTGAAAAAAATAAAAAATAAAAAATTTTAAAATATAAACATCATTTGATTGTACACAAAAAAAAAAAAATCATTTAATTGCAAGGACGATATATGGATTTTTGCACTTGAACATGCTACTTAGAAGTGAATAGGTCCATTAAATTTTAAACTCGAGCAAACATCCAAAAATATGAATACAAATCATTCACATTGCACCAGTGCATTCCATCCATTATTGTGGTACTGAATCTACTGATAAACTAATCTTTAGTACTAAGTAAAGCTATTGAGACAATTGGTAATTAACACAAGAACAACAATGCTACATTAAGTACAATTTGTTCTTATCAACATAATATATGACACTCATACTAACACATCCTAGTCAAAAATAGTAAAATGTTCACCTAGCATTCAACAAACTCAAGAAAACATAAAAAGGTCATGTTCAATAATGTTTAAATTATTGAAAATATGACTGTTAAATTCTAAAGATCCTATTATCATAGACTTGGCAAGAATAATTTTTGCACGCCGGAGGGTTCTTGGTAGGCGGAGGTGGAATTGTTCAACTAGGGCAGCACCTAATTCTTAAAACTCACCTCTAAAACTTCAACAAAACTGTCAACTCAGAGATCAGAATGCAGACCCACTTCCACTGCCCTTGGTCTTTCCAAGCATCACGTCTTTGGCTTCATTAATTTTGTAAGCAAGGTAATGGCTACCGCCTGCATCTGGATGATTTGCTACGATCACCTTTCTATGTGCTTCCTTAATCTTATCTAATGCTGTATTTTCCCTATTTAAGATAAACATTGGAAAATTCGGGTGAAGATAGGATGAACCAGAACAAATATGTCATTATACAGGAGATGCATGTAATTAGTGAAGGTGTATATTTAAAATACAGAGCCGACCAAGAAAATGGAGCAGATGTAGAATTTGCAAGCTTGAATAGCTCAAACGTTGAATATTAAATGTACACCACTGACATTCATATTTTACTTCTATAGTGACATGGTCTATTATAAGATTTATACTACAATGGCAGTTAATTCACTACTGTTATTCCACAAGTTTTTAATGCTTATGATAAGCGAACATGATTCCAGATTTCAATGGAAAATTTTGGGTACCTGAGTCCAAGAATAAGAGCGGCTTCCCTCTTTGTCATTGTAGGTTGGAAACCTCCTTCATAAAATTTGCGGAATGTAACTGTAGGTGGTCTTGCCTTAAAAGCGCTCCAAGCCTTGATACCATATTTACCAGCATAACAAGCAGCAGCAACTGCAAGACCTCCTATCACAGCTACAACCTGATGCACATTTCAGATTTAGACTTCATTTATTCAAGGAACAGGTTATTGCCGTACTATATAAGTGGGCTTTAGTTGTCAAGAAACGAAGCAGTACCATCTAAATTATAATTGACAAGAAACCTGTTCTTCTTATAAATATACTGTATGGAAAAACAGCATAGTTACATCGATTGTTGTCATTGCATGCACCCCACATGGTAATCATCTTTGTTCTGGTACTTCCAATAAGTAAGTACGAAAACAATTAAAAGGGCAATGGAGGAAAGTGTAAGACAGAGTGGAAACCGGAGGTTTTTGAATTTCAAAGAAAACCTGAAGGGCCTTGAGTTGTTTGAAAGTCGCAAGAACAGGCAAAACAAGATTGAGCAGAACAGTGGGGGAAAGGTTGTAGAGGTCCTGAGGTTTCTCATGGCAATATGTTTATGAGTGTTTGGAAAAAGTTAACAAAAAGAAAAAGAAAAAGAAAAAGAGAGAGAGATGTATTGAAGTACATGCATAGAAACTTCTCTGCTGAGAGGCATTTCAGGTGGCAAAGTGGACCAAGATCTGTAAGGAAATTTCTTTAGCTGCTTGGGCTGCCATGCACAGAGGAGACAATGCCCAAAGATTGGTTGAATGGAGGATGGTTAGCACATCACTTGGCTCTCAAGATTGACACACGACCATCTAATTGCCACCCGTTTCAGATAGTAAAAACAAGGTCAAAATTGAAACTTTTGCCAGTCTATTATCATAAAGGTGGATAAAAAATGAACAAATTAACATCAAATCTCAACAAATAACTGCTTGTTTAACCCACCAGAAGTGAGTTGGTGGAGCATTACTCAACCCACTCTATTTATATGGAGTTGGAGGCCAGTGAAGTTTGAAGAGCTGACTTGGAAGATGATAAGGGAATTATTAGGATGGTTATGCTGCATCATGTTATAAAATGAAATAGAGGCCTTTCAGAACACCAAAGGACCAATTTTGGAATAGGTAAATCAATTTTTTTTTTTGGGAAATTGAATAGGTAAATCAATAAGTTCCAATGAATAAAGGAATTCTAGAGCTAAAAGCCTAAACCAGACAGCGACGGTGCATGTAAGGGGCATTAGCAATGTCTCCATCTCTCATATATGTCTTCAAGCAAGATGTGACCAATCAGAAACAGCACAATAGAATGTCAACAAAGATGAAGAATCGAAGGCTTAGTTAGGAGTGCTACTAACATAGAGAAAGTGTCTTAAATGGGCAATTTACAAAATTTCGGGAGGAAGTAGATAATTGGGGATTTGGCAGGTACCTTTTGGGGTTTTGAGACGAGTCTTTCAAGAGTAGGTGAAGTGGTAGAACAGGGCCATGGACAAGAATAGGAAGGTAGCGAAAAGGCATTCACCAAAAGCTATAGAAATTGACTGCTCATAAGTTAAAAAGTCAGGAACAGGAAGGAATATCTTAAGCAAGATGAAACAGGAACTAAATTTTCTGTACTCATTAAGCTTGGATGATGTCTTCTATGACAATTATGATACTTGGATTCAATAAAACAAAAATCTTCAAATTAGACTCCCCATTCTACTTAAATTACGTATACGAATAACAATTACACTGAAGACAAACACATGGACAAAAACACATAAAAAAAATCTCTCGAGTCATGATCTACATTATCTGAAAGAATTTATAATTGCCCTTTTATTTATTTATCTTCAATATTGCATATAACAATTTACTGAAAAGACAAAGGCACTTATGAAAGGAACCAAAAACTTCTATACCAGTGCAGTTGCATGCTTGATCATTTCATTTGCTTCCTGAACTATCAGTACAACCATAAAGTAAAAAATTAAAATTTACCAAATACGTGTTAGATATCGTAGAAGCAACAATCAAAACAGAGTGGTAACTAACTCCTATACAAGTGCAGTTGCATTATGATCTCCTAAACTGTTGTTACAAACATAAATCAAATTGCATACTATAAATATTCATACACGCATACATACATTGACACATATAATACACACACATTTGTGTGTGTAATGACGTTTGGACCTGTAGCTATAATTATAGAAAACCCTAAACTGGAAGTAGATCTCACAAATCACAGTAATGAACAGGAAAACAAGGGCCCTAATAATTTCTCCATACTTGGTAGCTTTGACTCTAAAATCAAATCAATTAACAAAATCAACAAAACCACGTAAAACATAGATTCAAGTTTCAAAAACAAAACAATCCAGATATCGCCTATATATATGCATGTGTGGTTGTGTGTGTATATAGTAAAACTCACCATCGCCTTTTTAAGTATCCTAGCCCCCGGGTTCCTGAGATGCTCCTCGTGAACGTTCTACGATTATCTACGATGATAGTAAAATCAGTTGTTTTCGGTCTCCTGTCTTTATCAGTCTATTCTTATCCCTTGCTTTACTGCTTCCTCCATGCCTGGAGCTTCACCAACCTTTTCTTTACCCCTTTTCACGAAGTCCAAGATCTGCTTAGCAAGTTTTGAACCCTCAAAGAAATTATAATACCATTTTAGGGTTTGGATGTTTATGCTGTTTTCACATTTACATGAGTGTCACGTGATATCCATAGGCTTATTAGGCAGCAAGAGTGTTACATAATATCCACGTGTCACTTCCCCTTATTTCTTACTTATTAGCCAAATACATAAGTATATTATTTATTTATTTTTATTATTTTTCTGGTAAACTAAGTAGAGGTAGGGTTGTAACTTGGGCGGCTAACCCAGTCCAACCCAGCCCTAACTCAAAAATTTTGAAATTTGAACTTAAAATTCACAAATTGGATTCACGTTCGGGTTGAATTTTGTCAAAATTCAGACATGTTCGGATTGGGTGAGCCCGAACCCAACCCAAAACTCAAAATAAAAAAAAAAAATATTATTTTATTTTATTTTTTTCTCCTTTCTCTCTCTGCCCCATCCCCTCTGCTACCGCTGCCGCTGCCGCCATCACTTCCAAAAATAAAACAAAACCCATACATACAAGGTAGCAGTTGCAGAGAGAGGGAGGCAAGCTTGAGAGTTGAGAGATAGCGGCTGAAGCTTACGAACGGCGAACCCGAACTAGAACAGCGGGCGATGGAAACTGAAAGACATGAGTTTTGATTTTTTGAACAATCTGAAATGATATGCCGACATGAGTTTTGATATAGGTAATAGGTTTTGAACTTTTGATTCTTGCAGACAGATAGATAAATTGAAATATATGGGTTTTGAACTTCTGATCGTTGTAGATTTTGTAGTTTGCAATTGGAGAGAGAGAGAGAGAGAGAGAGAGAGTTGAGAATGAGATCACAGAAGGAGGCGATTGGGGAGGCTGAAATGATTTGCCCTAATTTTTTTTTGTTTTTTTAATAATAATATAATCAAATATATATAAATTTCCACCCGATGGAATCAACCCGTCAACCCGACCCGACCTGTCCAAAAATATTCGAAAATATTTTATTTTTATATGATGTTGTGGATGAATATTACTATTATATATTGAATGAGGTATTAAATTGATATTTTAGTACACTGTTTATTTGTTGTGTATTACAACAAGGTTATGTTATTTTATGTGTAGATTGATTTAATAGGTTTATTTGGTAATGCAATTTAAGAATTTGATTTATACAAGTTTGTTTACAATAGGGCTGGCCTAGAATTATTTTTGAAGGGGATTGTCAAACAATTATGAAGTTGTGCTCATCAGAAGAAGCTTTGGCCACGATTGTTCGCGATATCAAAGTTCTTCTTCAGCATGGAGAAGATTTCTCGTTGAATTGGATTCCAAGACACTGTAATAGAGTGGCTCATGAAATATGTAGATGGTCTTTTCTTTCTAATTTTTTTGAGCCTGTATGGTCCTCGGTTCCTGCATCTGTTGGAGAAGCTTTGCTGGGGGATTTGTGCTGATTTTTCTATTTCTTTTCTCTGGTTGCCTTGGATAAAAATAAAAAATAAAAAAAATTAAGAAAGTGATGTAATTTATTATTGAAGACTTGGGAGAGGAAGCACATTTTGCAAAATCACAGTAATGAACAGGAAAACAAGGGCCCTAATAATTTCTCCATACTTGGTAGCTTTGATTCTAAAATCAAATCAATCAACAAAATCAATAAAACCACGTGTAACATAGATTCAAGTTTCAACAAACTAAGTAATCCGGATAACACATATATATATATGCGTGTGTGGTTGTGTGTGTATAGTAAAACTCACCATACCCGTGAGTTTTGAACACTCGAATAAATTAGAATACTACATTTTAGGGTTTGGATGTTTATGATATTTTTACATTTACATGAGTGTCACATGATATTCATAGACGTATTAGGCAGCATGAGTGTCACGTGATATCCACGTGCCACTCGCCCCCTTATTTCTTACCTATTAGCCGAATGCATCAGTATATTTTTTATTATTAATTTTTTTTTTTTGGCAAACTAGTGGAGGAGACTTGAACGCAAGCAAATTTATTCGAAAAGCTAGTAGAGGGGATTCGAACATGGACATATTCTCTCAGGAAGCTTGACACTCTACTATTTAGGCCACCAATAATGCCCACATCAATATAATTTAATAACTACCAATACACTTCTTATTTCTCAAATACTACGAAAAAAACTCTCATTAAACAATTATGAATAATTTCTAAATTATGAGCAAAGTTTGCCAAACACATACTTAAGCATTACATTTTTATTTAACAATTTTATACACATGAAGCTACAAATTCGATAGGTTACAACAAATTTAAAAGATTATCTAAATATTTCAATTTAAATCAAGTCAAAATTAATATTCAAGTTTCTTTGTGATATATTAAAAATCAATAGGTTCATGTTTCTTACTCAAAGAGTTCGGCTTGAACTAGACTACCACCAAGTATTAAACAGTCCAAAATTATCTAATAATGTCTAATAATTTCTGCTCAAATAAAGCTCGTACTCCAACTACATTGAAGCAGGCGGCTACATATATTACAACCCTTTTGACAAAATTCATGCCTACCAATCTTTGCAACTTGTTTTTACAGTGAATGGTTAAAACTTAAAAGCAACATGTAACAGTAAGAAAACCAAAACCAAGGGGAGAAAAATAATAGTAATAAATGATACATGTAATTGCATCAGTGTAACAGAATTACATTCATTCTTTTGGAGAAAAATAATTAGAACCCGGAAGCTGGTTCTTTCTAAAAGAAATAAAAAAATAATACTAATAATAAAAAATAACCGTCCTCACAATTGTAATAATGACAAGAGAGTGAGGACTAAGAAGCAATTCTCATAACAAGACTCACTCAAGATACTGATTTCAACTCCAAACCAACACCTGAAGACAATAAATAGAACAACATTTGTTAACAGAAGTGGAAGTAGATTCACAAATCAAAGACACCCTTTTGCTTTTATTCATCTCTTTGTTAATCACTTTAGACTCAATTAGCTTATTTTCTCTGCTTCTCCGTTGATCATAAATAATTAAATGGCCCCTCCATTCCTTGCGTTGTGCTCCACAACAGAGCTGATGTCCACCTTTGGTGGACCTGAGTGCCGCCTTGGCTTAGCTGGTGAAGACGGGAAAGAAAGCCGCTTCTTTGTGGATCCGGCCAATCCCTTTTCCGGTGTCCCATTCTCCACCCCCAATGGGCTTTGCATTCGCGTCTTGGCCTTTGCTGACTCTGTGGATACCATGTAACTTGGAACTGCAGGAGAGCTCGCCAGACTCTCATCATCTCTCACCGATGATCCAGCAATGCTATGTCTTCTATTCCTCTCTGACTGCACACTGAACACGCTCTTTGTATCATCATCTGGACCCAACACACTCCCTCCCGAGCTTGCTGGCTTCAATTTTCTGGCTACTGTTGAAGATTTCTTGGATGGGGGAGTGAAAGGGGATGGATGACTTGGTTTCTGGCTGACTGTTGGGGAAGGCTTATCATAATTGAGCTGATGATGAGCATAAGCCTTGATGATTTCTCCTCCAGTGATGCTGAGGGCGGCACTCTTCACGGATGAGTGATCATTGTTGAGTTCTTTCTCAGTCAAAACACGGGTCTCCCATGATCGAGCTGCCATCCATCTTTCTAACCAGCTCCAACCCCATTGTGGATTATTTGGGTCCATGAACAATAAGTTTGCTGATCTTGTAGATTTCTTCCCGTTTTGCTGTAATGAGAAATTATGTTGAAAGCTGAAATTCTTCAAAGTTGGTTAATAGTTGAAAAATATATAAAATACATGATGGGGTGTGGCTATAGAATTGTGATTAAAACCACAAATCAACAATCTGTAAATCGTTAAATTTCTACCTGGAACAATGACTTAGTTTCCATTAAAGTAGCACTCAGCTACAGCCATAAACCAACTATACATATTCTCCAAAATTTATAATCCAGTTATCAATTTCAGTAACCGAACAAATAGGATAGTGTGTTAGATAACCAAATTAGCACCATATAAGCTCTCTCTTGCATTGTAACACTGCAACCAGATCAAAATTCTGTTATAAAACTGAAAACATCACTTTGCATATTACAAATTTCAGTTTAAATGTTTTGACAGCTTACCAGGGAAAAAATGATTACAATTAAAATTATTCTTAAATGTATAATTTCTGTATTTATAGTAAAATATCATGTTATGTTTGAAGTTTTTTTGCGACTAGATTTTACTTGAGATGGATATGTAAATAGTAAAACAGCTAAACCTATATGAGCCCGTGTCAGAATTTCTGCGACTCAGAAGCTGCTTTATTTGGGGCATGGTGTTGTGAGAAATTATACGCAGCACTAAAACACAACAAAGTGTTGTAATGATGGGGGAAATTTTTAACTAACTTGGCATTTTGTGAAACCTGTTATATGGCTTTAATTTTCCCTACGGGGCATTCTCAAGGTCTTCCTGTAGCAGTTGGAGCATAAAATCTGGGCAAAGATAACTAGAAACTTGTCAAGCTTCAATTCTGTACATCTCTTAATAGATATGGTTGCACAATAAATTAGCAAACATATATTTGTTTCTTTTTCTCTCTCTATCATCTCTTCCTGAGGAGGCCGGAATATGTAAAAGGTGATGGATGAAGAGGTCACCTGATGAGAGAATGAATAAGCCAGTGCTCTTTCTCTTCTCATTGTCGCCTCATACTTGCTCAGAAGGTTTGCTTCAATTTTTTCTTTTGATTGTAGACTGTCATCCCATTCCTCCCCCATCTGTTACAAAATTTAACAATCATGTTCAGATGAAAGGAACAGATAAAAATTACCTGTATATCAAGTTTGTTTAAGATCATCACAGAATAACTGAGCTAAAAGCATCCTAAATGAAACATTTCTACATAAAAAGTCATCTATTTTTGGTAACAATTCAAATAAGAAGCTTTTCAGGATCCAGAACTTTTAGTGTGAAAGCTTATCAAATGTTCTGTTGAGGGGAATCTGAAGAAGCATTTGAATGAAATTCTGATCGTGTGCATTTGACCAAAAATTCATTCAAAGTTATCAGCCTGGCTGCCTGAGCCCCCCAACTAAACCTGACTGGACAAACATCTATATCTCTGAACAGCCCCATCGACAATCATATGTCACGTGTATTTTGCAGGACCTAATTAAATGGCATCAAAGTCATTTCTGGAATACCAATGCATCCTACAAGGGCCTGATAATATATTGAATGCTGAATTGCACGAGTGCATCATTGAATAATAGAGGAACAAAGAAGAGCTTACCTGCAAGCTCTCAAGTTCTTTTGCTCGTTTCTGTAGGAGCTGTTTCTGGAGCACCTGATTCTCCTCTGACATCCTGATCCTCCTAGACTGGACCTGAGACTGCACGTGGGCTAGGGTTTGCATCCATCGTAGAGCGTTTGCAGTTTGGCGCTTGACAGTTGGCCCTTGTACCAGTGATTTCAACCTGACAAGCCCTCTTAAAGCCCGCAACGCTCTCCTTGCCTGAGAACAATGAACTCCGATCTAGCATTACCCATTCGATGCTAAAACATGATCAAGAATAAGGGGGGAGAAACAAAAATAACATAGAAAAAGATTTCCAAATACCACTATGATCAAGGCAAATCAACAATGCTGATCCTCAAATAGCTGAAATTTTGGGAGACAAAAAAAGGAGATGGGAGGTGCAGAACCGTCAGATACAACAGTTTTTCTTTACCACACAACTTAGATGAAGGTGTCATATTCATGTTGGATACAGACACTTCATGAAAACCCATAGACATATGTGTGACACCTCATGGACATATCCATGAATAAAAAGTAAAAAAAGCATCATCATTATGGGATCTGACCAAAACATCTCAGACACTCCACACACATGACTTATGTAGCACAAACACACGCAGGTCGCGTTCAAACTCTTGGAACCAAGATGAACACAATACAAAGTTTCCAGCCTATCTTTTATTCTTTTATGCCTTTTTAAAAGAGAATTTGGCGTCATATAAATTGTCATCACATGTCAAAGCATATATAACATTTTAATATAGGACACGAAATAATTGTAAATACAAAAATATAGAAATAGAGTAATAGTATATATATTATAAGATATAATTTTGTGATATTTAGTTGAGCATTGTCTTTTAGAGATGCAATTCTCAGTGTACAAATTTAGAGAATTAATGAAAGTTATATATTTTATCTCATACAAATGTATATAAATATAAAGATGTATAAATACACATATACATAAATGCATACATATAAAACTTTATATTAATATAAAATCATGTCGTATCCTACTATTATAGGATTTGTCATATCAGTGGGTCTACATGATACTGTGTTTGTGCTGCGCCAACGCCTGAACAACTTAGATCTAGATATAAGTTCCATTAGTATTATTATTATTATTATTATTATTTTGTCATTAGTCTTGGGCATTAATTTGGACTGCCATTAATAAAAGACAAAGAACAAGTTCTTTTTTCTTCTTCTTTTTTTTTTTACTTCTTTTTTTTTTTTTTTTTTCCATTCTAGTATTGAAAAATGACAAATGAAGATCAAGTTTATTTGTAACTTAGTTTAATTGTGCATGCTTTATTGATTTTGTCATTAATCTTAGACAATAATTTCGACTGTCATCCATAACAGGCAAAGAGAAAGTTTATTTTATTTTCTTTTAGTTTTGATAAATGACATATAAAGAGCAATTGAGCAAGTCTATTTGTAAGTTGTAACCGAGTCCAATTGTGCATTGCCATATAAGATGAGCTCCAAGCCTCAAAATGTGTGTGTATGAAACAATCTTTAGAACATTCAAGAAATGATTTAACCATTTGAGATATAAGGAAATTTCCTCAATCTTCCAAACTGAAAATTAGAAGAATGCCACCAACTGATTATTAACTGTTGGAGTGGTAGGACATTAACTTCAATGAACTCTAAAAGTAAACTTCAACAAATTTTCTTTAGGGTGACAACAAAAATCTATTTTCCATGAAAAAAAGTATTGTGTGATCCTGATGCAGCTCTGAAACAATAAAATTATAGTCATAGACATACATGGTTTGTAAGAAAAAAATTCATCAGAATTAATTAAAGGATGCTTACTAATCTGTCAAGAAATGACATCAATTTGGACAAATAAAAAAATTCAAGAAAGCAAAAATAAAAAATAAAGAACAAAAAAGTTCATAGGTTTTCTGTGGAGAAAAATACCAGGTATCCACGGAATGCTGCTTGAATTCTGATTGCTGACACTTCCTCCTTTGATTCGTCCGTCAACTGAGTCACTGCAGTGAGTCGAACAACCTGAGCAGCCGCAACAGCAGCCTCAGCTGCATCAGTATAAGCACCTTGGTTTTGTTCATGCTCCACTTCAACCAATTTCACCTCTTCAGACGGAGGTAGAGGATGAGAGGCCGAGACAGTTTCTAAATGCAACGAATCAGGAACTGCAGATTTTTCCTTCCCAAACCATTTCTTCTTTGTTTTATTTTCTTTCTGAAAAATAGTTTTTAGAGAAATAAATCAACAATACATACAGTAGAACAAAAAGAATTGAAGTGGAATTTTAACAAAACCTGGCCTTTCTTGTCCTTAGATTCTGGGCTTAGAGCTTTTTTTACCGAAGAAAACCAGTTTGATTTCTTCCCCATCTATGTATAATTCCTCAATTTGTCCTCTTCTGAAGACAAATATACTCCTCTGGAGACAAAACAACCCATATAATTTTCAAAAATTTCATCTTTCTATAATTGTAAATTATAAATCATAATTTTTTATTTTATTTTATTAATCTATAGTTATATCTATAAAGAGATTTAAATCACAACACATACAAACATTACTGAGACAGGAGAGAGGGAGAAAATCACTGACACCCACTGTTAGATTGCTGGAGAAAAATGAGGAGAATGAAAGAAAATGACAAATTGGTTGTTATTTTAGTAAAGTTCTGGTTTCCAACTGATGCAATTCAGGCATAAATAAGTGAAGGTCTTTGAATCCCGATTCCCAATTATGAACGAAACAGAAAAAGACTAGTATACAATATTTCAATTTCTCTTCTTATCCGTCATTTTCTCAGCAACCAAACAAGTGGTAAGAAACCCAAACTTCATAGAGTCAAACAACGAGGAAGGCTAGTTTCCAAGAATTCTTTTTTATCGGTAAATTACAATACCCAAATGTTAAAATTGCATAAAGAACAGTTTGAAGTAAATCAACAATCACTTTCAAACACAACTGTACAGATAAGTTATCAGTAATAGAAGCTAACATTGTGTCTGTCGTTCGAGAAAATAGATAACGAAAATCACCTGTAAATGGAGTTTTCAGATCTCAGAGAGCTTCTTCTTCTTATTCTCTTCACAGCATTTTCTTCTCTATATCTGTACAAAAAGATGAGAAATTGTGTGTGACCTTAGTGAGAGGGAAAAACCAGATCTTGCAGTTTAATGATCAGCATATGAAGGAATAACAGCTGGCGTAACGACTCACCTCTTGTGTTGAGTAACTGGGTCCCACCCAAATATCAACCTCAATATTCTACCTAGTAAAACCATGAAAATTACTACCGTAACAATTTTGTTTCAATTTACATTTCCTTATTATTTATTATTGTATCAAATGTAGATATTCACCATTTTTACAAACTTGTCAATGGTTTGTTGTCATTCATTAATGCAGCAATTGACGACAATCAATAATATAAAAATTCATGGGATTTTGTTGCAATTCTAATTAATTTATAGAGTTTAATAAGAACTCTTCGGTACAAAATAAGAATAAACACTATTATCTTTATTGTTTAATAACAGTTCTATTAATAAAATACAAATACTCTACATTAACATCATTTTTCACCATTGTATTATACAATTTTTTTTTTCTTTTTCTTGTTTTGTCTTTATAAAAGTATTTAATGAAAATAAAAATATGATAGAAATTAGATCGACCGACAATATAGAATACCTGGGAAAAAAGAAAAAAAAAAAAAATGACTTGGGATGGTCGTTGGTATCTAAGGTTTATTATTATTATTTACTACTCTTGAAGGTGTTGTGACCACCTTAAACTGCTTGAATCAACATTTTAAAGTAGATCCCATTAATGTTCTTTAAACTGAGGTCCTTCAAACTTTATTGCCCAGATTTGACTTGAGCTTCTCTTCAAGTACTACATTAGATCTAATGCTTACTTCATTGATCTTAACTGCATTGCCTTTATTTATTCATTCTTAAAACATTCATCTCTTACAATAGAATATTTTAGGGTTTACAAATTCTCATATGATTTTTGAAATAAAATTAATTAAAACTTTCAATTAAAAATCTTCTAATATTAAATTCAAAGCATTAAAATGAGTTACACCGAACTAAAATTTTATTCATTGTTATATCAAGTGAAATAATTACATGACCAATAATAAATAATTTGGTCATGATCTAAGTCACATAAAGCGGGAGCGGGAGCGGGAGCGGGAGCGGGAGCGAGAATGAATTCGAGAGCGAGAGCTTGAGAGCGGCAAAATTATGTCATAAATAGTGAGAATTTGAGCGAGAGCGCGTACGGAGCGTAAGAGCGAGAGCGGAAGCACGCTTGGAGCGTGAGAACGACACCTGTTGTGAAGAATTGTGTGACTTAGGTCATGATATGACATGTTTGTAATCATGAATAATTTATAATTTGGGTAGTCTTATTAAGTGAAACTTAAAAAATAAATAAATAAAATGATAGTTGTACACATTTAAACTAACATATATTTGTCCTTACAAAACAAGGCCCTACTTGGATCAATTTCTTTTGTGAGATACAAGCCATTATCATTTGCGGGCTCAACTGCAAACCTACTATGGAATAGTTGTGATTTAAATACACTAAACCTGCTGATTGGAGTTGGATTATGTTGTAATAATTCAGTTAAATAAGTAAACTTTCCCTATCATGTGATATTTTATTTATTTTTTTATAAAATGCCTTAATTAGTTAATTTATATCAACAATAATCAGGGGCTATTACTATTCAAGTATTCAAGATACTTTTAGCCGTTTTCAACATGTGTCTGAACCATATCTGTGTATTCGAGAAGTGTCCAAGTATTCCATAACGCCACGGCCCCTGCCTCCGAAGAAGTATCCGTGTTTTTTAAGTTGTTAGTTGTATGTTATGTTCTTTCAACTTCCTGTTGTTGTTATATTTCATTATAAAACTGAAGACATTGAAGTTGAGAAATCTATTGAAATTTTTTTTGTCATATATACCCGCGTAGAAAAAGAGTAATTTTTAAAATTTTCAGTATCAATTTTTTTAAAAATTTCATAAGACTGATTTGAAAGTTAATGTGAGTAGTTGATTTATCGGGGGTTCTTGAGAACTAAAAGAAGATGAAACTTTAATGTTACTGTAATATATTTCCTAAATCCAGTTCATGACATCAATTAAAAAGGCTATTTTACTTGATCTACGACAATTTTTATGAAAGAATGTCGGAGGTAATGTTATACTCCCAACCCATAACTTCTTCTCAACTACTTGGAGTTGACTACGTGAATCATGTTTCACCATTTTGCTTTACATAGGATCAAATTGTTTGTAGAATATCTGAACACCTTTGGAATGAAGGTTGGAATGCTGATACTATACTTATATAGGCACATCTTGTATTAAGAATATGATAAATGGTTCATTAATTTTCCAAATCTTTCATAAACTGCTTGTTTCTCAGTAACTAGTGTTGATCAATTGTTAGACATCACAATACAGATAATTTATAAGCAATGAAGTGTAATTTCCTTCACAAATAATTAGATGATACAAACATTATTGCTGGTTGATTTCATGCCATAAATTAGGATCACAATAACTTCTACAGAACTTAACAAAAAGCAATAAAATTCTACAAAAAATCACCAATCATGTTGATTGTAAAAATTAATACTCTAGATTCGAGTGCCAAGAAAGAGCCATTCTAAATAATAAAACCATCACAAGAAAAGAGAATAATGCTATTCTTTTATATATTTGTGATTTTTTTTATTTTTTTTATTTTTTTTTTTTTATCAGGGGATCATATTTTCTGCAGCAGTTACTTATATCCCCTATGCTCTTTCATTTTCTTGACCTCTTCTCTGCTGTCACTGACCACCGTCCGATGAAATCTTCAGGAAATGTAGTTTTATGATGTTTCTATTGGAGAACGAAGACGCCAGAGCATGACTTTGGAGCAACCTTTGGCTGGGATTCCCTTTAATTTGGTCTCCTCTTCCAGAACCTCTTTTTTCACATATTTGATTGAATTCTATATGAAAAAAAAAAAAAAAAAAAAAAAAAAAAAAAAAAATACTCAGTAATGAACTACAGTAAAAAAAAAGTTTTAACCGAATACATTCATGAATCATTACTAGAATTCTCCACAGGACTAAAGCAGATATCAACCAAAAAAAAAAATCAAATAATTAGCTAGCCATTACACACACTGTGTGTCTGTGTACTATACTAAACTTTAATGTGTAGTTTTATTTTATTTAAACAAGATTCGTTGTGATTACTTGAAAAAATATGTCATATCATCCCTACCTAATGTCTATATATTTAAAATTAGAAAATGATTGGAGGTTGGCCAAACATGTACTAAATTGTAACAATCAATTCTAAACATATATGATAGTTAATTGGACCCCCAGCTTTACTAAAGGTATGATTAGGTTTCATATAACAGCTGTATCATGGAATGCCATTGGACAAGGATGATCACAATCTAATAGAGAAAGAATATTGAAACCGTAACATGAATGTTGGTAAATTGGAGTTATTTTTGTAATTCAACTTGAAACTTAAACAAGTTTGAGTTAATCCTTCAAATTGTTGATTTAAATTACTAAACAGCTTGCAATGCATGTCAAACTACTAATTCAATGATTGGTTGGGGATTGATTCGAGTACCTGCGAGGTATCTTGAACCGATGAAGGGCGACCCCATCTTTCTGGATCCCAGAGAATGGAACTATTGAAGGCAAAACTTGAGATATGAACTGGAGATCTTGTGTCTGTGTCTTTTAGGTTGTTCCTTCGTCTCAAATGCCATCCTATGACATCTGAAGAATCACATACAGGTCCTTCGACGATCACCCTTTTTCTGTTTGCAGATAGTAATGCCATTGGCCACGTCCCAAATGCCCTGCAATTAACAAGCTTAAGATCTCTAGCCAAGACCGTTGCAAAACAGTGAAAAGTGATGGCATGACGTCTAAATGAGAGGAAAGATTTTTCGTCTTGCAGTTTTAATGAAACTTTGGTAAATGACTTAATAGGTGTAGTCTAAGTCCTGTTCTGCAACAAACATTGGGTTTTTCAAAGATTGTTGGATTCTGTTGTTCTCTATGCTACTTGGAACCATAATTGAATAGGGATGTCTTTTACTCTCTTTTATATTACTGATACTAATGTTTACAAAATCAAATGATGTAAGATTGGCTTCCTTTCAGGGAGATATGTAATGTCTGGTTAATTTATTACAAACATCAAAAGATGAACTCTCCTTATTCTGAGTAATGTGTACTAATGTTCCTCAAAAGGAACAACTTTGTCATTACTAACATACAGACATTCCATCTTTCCAAGGTAGAATGTTGGTTGATATAATATTTTTACTATTACATCCTAAAGTAAAAAAATCAGATTCTATCAAAGTACTTTTAATAAAAAAATAAAAAATAAAAAATAAAAAATAAAAAAGAAGAAGAAGAAGAAGAAGATAACTATGACACACATGAAGGATAACTGTGACACACACAGGAGTAATTGATTTATCAAATTGAAATGACCTGCAAATACTATTACTTTTTTAACACTTCAATTAATTCTCATTATTAGTATTATTTAAGCAAAGATCAACACATAATGCAACAAAACAGATGGGTGGTATCTGGTATCAGATAAGTTCATGGGGCCTATTTGCTTATTTAATACTTACTAAGAGAAGAAGCTCCTAAGAATCAACCAAAAACAGCTCCTACCAAGCTCAGATTTGGTCCAAAACTTCAAACTGCTTGTTTGGCAGTACTATGAGCCTGCACTATTTCATTTTATGCACAATAGCCTTGTGTATATACATATATTTATATATTCAGTTTCTTATAAAAATTTTCAAAGAGGTTCCTAAATATTTTATTCACAAAGTAAGAGAAATTTAAAACTAGTAGGTTGATTTATCATATGAAGTATAATAGGGAGAGAGAAAAGAATGCATACTCAATTGATCTGATCTCATTGAACAAGCTGAGATCATAGACATTGGAGAGTCCAGCAAAGTGCACGATCCCACTTAGCCGGTGGTGCTCAATGTGATTAAGCGCAACATTCTTCTGATGATCCATTTCAACTTTGAGGTCTGTGAAGTTCTCCTTGAAGACCAGATGCCTATACATAACACCTGTTCTCCTAAGTATTTCCGATACTTCAGATGAATCTGACTGTGCCTCCACAACCACCCACAACAGGGGTGGAGGAACCAACTTCAATGTGTTTGCTAGCCTCCTTAGAAGAACCCCACGAAGATGATCTTTCGCGCTTGTTGGAGTAACAATAATTACGAGTCTTCTAGGAATCAGCTGAGACTCTCTTTTTTCTTTTTTCAGGAATTTTGCTGGTTCTGAGTCCTTAGACCTTGTTGGCACTGCCACTGGAGCCTCATGGCCCTCATTCAACAAACTTCTATTAAAATTCCCGGATTGTGTTTTTGGTTGATGCAGCACTTCCAAGGGTTTTGGTGAAAGTTCTGATTGACTCGAGGCAAGAACATGGTGAGAAAAGTTTGAAGACTTGCGCGTTGGAGTGAAGCCTGTAAAAAAACCCATAAGAAAACATAACAAGAAATGAACTATAGCTTTCTGCCATAATTGAGCTCTCTTCTTTGATCTCTCCAAAGATGCCATCTCCCAAAATGCAAAACAATCACCAGACTCTTGACAATTCTGGTCACTTTTGTTGGAAGTTGGAACTTAACTGAATAGAAAATGAGCAACATAGAGGCCTAAATGCATTTTATATTTAAATGCTGAGAAGGTTACACCAGAAACTTTTTGAAACTGGTATTAGTAAACAGACATATGTATGATTGGTACTTTTGAACTCAATGCATTGTTGCTTTTGTTTGGTATTTTTCATTGGTGACACATTGCTTGACTGAGTCATCCCTTTAAGTGGAAGAAAGTTTGAAAAAAATCATATATATGAGGACTTGGGTTGCTGTCTGCACCAAATAGTTGTTGGGATGCAAACCAATCACCTAAAGAGTTTGAATAAAAAAATATAATCAGACATGAAACAATTAGTCTCTCTTATGTAATTTAGAGTTGACTAACCGTCATTTATAAATATAATCACTCAATAACTCAAACTCTGTAGATTACATAACTTGCTAAATCAAATCAAAGATCAGGGAATTGTGATTGTGGTTCTACCATTCAGGTTTGGAAAAAGTGAAAATTTTGGTATCTCTGCTTTGGGATGGAGGAGTCAGTTCTACTGTTCTATGAATCACTTACTAGTTGTCACTTCATTCCAAAGGTACCTTTCCAAGGTCCAGAATAGGAAAATGCATCTCGGGTTGGGATGTATAGTTTTGTTTTTGCCTGACAAATAACTTTCACAATACTTTTGGAAAACTTAAACGAGATACCATTAGGTCACATGCCTTGACATGGTTAATGCCACATATATCAATTGGCAAAGATGGCAATGGCATATATATATAATTGAACCACTTCACGTACTGTGGAAGAAGAAGAGAGTTCACAACTAAATATTCATGAGAATAACCAGGTGAATGTTGAAGGGGTCAACCCCACAAGATCAAGAATGAAAGCAATAGTACATTTTAGTCATGAAAATATGTGGGTCCAGTGTTACACCAACTGAAAGGGAAAGTATAATTGACTTAAAAATCAAGGATGGCACTGGTTTACAACTAAATATGATGGCTGTGTTAAGGAACAAGTTCATATTATCACCTCAAGTTGTGAAACAGAATGTTAAAAACAGGTCCATTTCTTATTATGTACCAAACTTCTTGTGCATCAGTTGGTTTTTTACAGTAAAATTTCCATTCGATTGTAACCCCATACCTATATCTTCCGGGTGGAAATCTCACACGGCATGAGCAAATCTGATTGTAAGGTAGGTGATGTGCAATTCTCAATCAGGTCATCTATGGGACCCTTTAAGATTGTCAGTAGATCATAAAATAGAGTGAGTGGAACCAAGCAAGTCCAATTACAGATTTGTATTTTTATAACAAGTTCCTTGTATGTGTTCAAACCTCAATGGCATCTTAGGCAGCACACAACTTGTATGCACAACATATATATATATATATATATATATATATATATATACACATACATACATTGCTGCTTCACTTCCTAATATAGGAACATGGACTAAATATATATAATATTCCTAAAGAAGAGTGAAAATTTCAAAAAGGGTCAGTGACCCAGTTGTATCAAACCCTTACTTCTCACTTGGAGGTTAGGGTTCAAGCTTCAAAATATTAATAATAATAAAATTGAAGTTTGATCTCAAATACCAACAAGCCTGTGACTTAGCGGTACCAAGCTCCTGCTTCTCAAAGAGAGGTCAGGGGTTTGAATTTCAGTGGAGGCATGTGTGTGCGCGTGAGTACCAACTAAGAAAAAAGTTTGATCCTAACTAAGTTAGTTGGCTTAGTTGGCTCTAGTGGCTCATGAGCTTCAGCTATAAGATTTGATTTTTTTGAGTTTAACCAATTTCTTGAGGGGTCTGAGTAATTTGGAAACATAACATGAAGGAAAATGAAAATTTAGTATTAGCAACCGTTGACACATCATTTCTGTGCCAATTATTTAATTCACATCCAACCACCTCGTTGAATGGTTTCCTTTTATGAAGGATTCTTGATTAACATTCTTCTTTTCTCACTAAAATGTTCTAAAATACCTTTCAAAAAAAAAAAAAAGTTCTAAAATAGATTCTATATAATAATAACCTATTGCATTTGGTGAGGAAACAAACATGTGAAGCGTAGAAATATATTTTAATATAAAACTTACCCTATGGATTAAGTAGGTGTTAATATAGTAAATTCAAGAGTTAAATAAGAAAAAATATCAGGCTAAATCGACATAATAGTGTTTCTTGCCGAGGTAAAAAAAATTAAAATAATAATAATAAAAACTACTCTGTACTATCTTAATATTTACATTTGTGTACTATCAAGTTGACTAATTACCATTAACTATCTAGTTGAGTAATGTAATAAATTTAATCGCTATTTAGTTGATTAATTATCATTAACGATCTGGTTGACTAATTATTATTTATAAATTTAATCGCAATTATTATTTATAATTTTAATCGCTAATTAGCATTTATAAATATAATCAGCTGTGTTTAGTTGCATAGAATTAGAGTCTTGAAATTAGAATTTGTGAAATTTAAAAAAAATAATTAAGAAATTGAACCAAAATTTTCTCAAATGTTACCAAAACTTCAATTCCATGCAACCACATCCTCATTGAAATCACTCAAAACTCTGGTATATAAAGAGAAGTTTTTGTTATCCTGCTTTGGGATTGAAGTGTCAGTTCTAGGCTTCTACCATACACATCTCGAGTAAGTAGTTGTCAAATGAACCGAAGGTATCCAAAGGTACCTTAAAAAATGCATCTAAATCATTAGTTCCAGCGGACTTGTAGAAGAAGAGGTGTATGCTCACTTTTTTATTTGATGGAATGAAATTGAAGGCCCTAAATGACTATGGTTTTACTAAAATATTCCTCATTATATAAAATTATAAAATCCATTTCAAATTTTTAAAAAGTAGAAATTACATATTTATGGTAATTATTCATTTTTTTTTCTCTCCCCTCAATTTTGGGAATAGTAAAACATCCTAGTCTCATCCATCCCTCTCCTCAATCCTTCCCCCCTCCCATCCCTCCCTGAGTCCTTCCCTCCAAACAAATCATGGCTTAAAAGAAAGAAGGCATACCATTAGGTCATATGCATTGATGGTGACTGCTATTTAATTCAATTGCCTAAGATGCCATATATATAAATGATTAAGGAGTAAACCTGGGAATTTATCAGCCATCAATCAAAAGGTCCACAATATACAACTCACCTTTGAGAATACACGCAATGACCAAAATAAACTTATTTCCACATATAAAAGGCATCATCAGAACACAGTGAGAGAATCTGGGATTTGTGTCCCACATGATTTCCACATCAACGCACAACAAAATGTAAAACACAAACAGTAATTTAGCATATTCTCCATATATCATAAGACCAAAAAGGGTAAGACAACATCCAATGATACTCAAATTACTTGGAATGAAATTCAATGGAGCTTAAAGTTTGCCATCAATGAAACTTAAAAGTATGCTAAACATGCTGTCACAGAATGAAACTAAAACACTCAATTACCAAAAATTGAACCGTGGTCTGCATCTGAATGTTCAACACCAACAAATGAGGCTCAAGAGCAGAGGCAATAGAGGTCGTCAAGAGAGCCATCAAAACTCACTTTTATCATAACTAACAAAAACAGTAAACTCTATACTCAAAATCAAATCCCTAAAACAAACCATTTATTTTTTCTTGGCAGCAGATTTGGTGACCTTGGCACCAGATGGATCTTTCTTGTCCACGCTCTTGATGACACCAACAGCCACGGTTTGTCGCATGTCCCTCACAGCAAAGCGGCCAAGTGGTGGGTACTCAGAGAAAGTTTCAACCACCATGGGCTTGGTCGGAATCATCTTGACCATTCCCGCATCACCATTCTTCAGGAACTTAGGCTCCTTCTCAAGCTCCTTGCCAGACCTCCTGTCAATCTTGGTCAGAAGCTCAGCAAATTTAACTGCAATGTGGGAGGTGTGGCAGTCAAGAACTGGGGCATAGCCATTTCCAATTTGTCCGGGATGGTTCATAATAATGACTTGGGAGGTGAAGCTGGCAGCTCCCTTTGCTGGATCGTCCTTAGAATTTGATGCAACATACCCTCGCTTGAGATCCTTGACAGCAACATTTTTCACATTGAAACCAACATTGTCTCCAGGTAGGGCCTCCTGAAGGGCCTCATGGTGCATCTCTACAGACTTAACTTCAGTGGTGAGGCCACTTGGACCAAAAGTGACAACCATACCGGGTTTGAGTACACCAGTTTCAACACGGCCCACAGGAACAGTGCCAATGCCACCAATCTTGTAGACATCCTGAAGTGGAAGACGCAAAGGCTTGTCTGTGGGTCTCTTTGGCTCACTAATCATGTCCAAGGCGTCAAGGAGGGTTGGACCCTTGTACCAGTCGAGGTTGGTTGACCTCTCAATCATGTTGTCACCCTCGAACCCAGAGATAGGAACAAAGGGGATCTTGTCAGGATTATAACCCACCTTCTTGAGATAGGACGACACTTCCTTCACAATTTCATCATACCTTGCCTTTGAGTACTTCGGGGTTGTGGCATCCATCTACAAGATAAAAAACAATGCAAAGTTGGAAAAAAACCATCAATGACCGTCACATGATCAAGAGAAAAAATTGAAATGCTAATAAATGTCAGGCCCTGTGAGAGCATTTAGTCCTTGAAAGTGCAGTTTTCTCAACTCCAAGAAAGATTAGATAAATAGTTGAAGCAAATGATGTAACACATCCAGTCATTGACCAATGATGTCCAGCCACTCAATAGAACCATGAAATAAAAAACAAAGCACATCCCCTGCCTGAGGCAGATCATTTGTGATAAGGTGAAAGGTTAATGAATTACCTTGTTGCAGCAGCAGATCATTTGCTTGACACCAAGGGTGAAAGCAAGCAAAGCATGCTCACGTGTCTGTCCATCCTTAGAAATTCCAGCTTCAAAACCACCAGTGGTAGAGTCAATGATTAGGACTGCGCAATCAGCCTGCGAGGTACCAGTGATCATATTCTTGATAAAGTCACGATGCCCAGGTGCATCAATGACAGTGCAGTAGTATTTGGTTGTCTCAAACTTCCAAAGAGCAATATCAATGGTAATACCACGTTCCCGCTCAGCCTTTAGCTTGTCCAAAACCCAGGCATACTTGAATGAACGTTTGTTCATTTCAGCAGCTTCCTTCTCAAACCTCTCAATTACACGCTTGTCAATACCTCCGAGCTTGTAAATCAAATGACCAGTGGTGGTTGACTTTCCAGAGTCAACATGGCCAATGACCACAATGTTAATGTGCACCTTCTCCTTACCCATTGTGAATTAGATTTGGACGCTGTAATTCATAAAAGAGCAATTATCAATATACCAGGACAAGCTGATACCAGTAATATAAAACTTACCATCCTTCCAAATTAAAGATACTGGATAAATATCCCAGGTCATGAATGGTAGACAAGCACACAAAATTAATTATGTGTAACCTTGTTTGACAAACACAAACACAACAACATAAACATCTCCATTCAATTCCACTTTCTTGATATAACTATAGAGATTACACTTTGATGCTCAATCATGTCAAAATTACAAACAAGAAAATAAACCAATTCAACAAAAATGAACCAATTCCCAAAACTGAACCAACTCCAGGAATATAATGGAAGAACAGAAAAGTTGGATTATATTTTAGTCTTTTAAAAGTGGTAACATTGTAATCCTCCTCAACCCTATTGCTTAATATATAATTATTAATAATAACTAATAATTAATAATCATATTCACTACTTCATATAAATATTCTAAACAAACATTTTATTATTTATTAAATATACAAATATACTTATGGGAGATAAAGGATTTATTAAACACCAAAACTTATATAAATATATCAATTACTTTGCAACAGATATGATATGCTTATTAACATTTAACACAAAGCAAACATTGATAACAACTAAGCAAGCTCAAGATACTGTAGAATCGCCTTTCAAAGATCGGCACAAAACATAAATACAGATATGAACATACTTGTACTTCTAAACACACACAAATATATTTCCTAGTGTGAATCTAAATATCTTGAAAAACGCAAGTTGATATATAAACAAACATATGAAGATATGAGATCAAAGCCAAGCCAAAACAATCAATCAGATCAAGATCTGCAAGCTATAAAATCAACACGAATTGACAAACAAATCATAAACGACTCAGCACATAGCTTATACTCAAATAGTAGAGTAAATACAAAAGAAAAAACAATTATAAAAACGAATTCACAACACGACATACCAAACCAGATCAGCTGTGTCAAGAACAGAAGATATATATACATGTTTGGTAGTTTACACACACACACACACACACATAAGATACATATATACGTTTACACATATATATACATATATAAATCTATTGAAAAAGAGAAGAAATATCGAATCTTACTTGAGATCGATCCGGTAGAAGCGCTCTCTCAGAGGACACCGCAGAGAGCAAGCAAAGAGATGGACTAACGAGGGAGATGAGAGCTTAAATAGTACTGCTACAAACTCTCTCTAAGCCATCAGCTAAAACTAGGGTTTTTTATGAGCCGTTGGATGCTCTTTAATCAATACCCTTACGTCACCACGTATTCCCCTAACGGCCGTCAACGTCGGGGTATTTGCGTTCACGTGAAATTCCAATTCTTATTTTACACTAACAGCCTGAGCTTTGTTAAAAGGACCCATATGAAGCTTAGCCTATTTTAGAATAATAAAATCTCTTTTCTTAAATTTTTAATCAAACAAAATATTTTAAAAAGACGAAATTATCCCTTAATATTAAAATCAATTTATTATAAAATATCATATATAGTAAAAAGACTAAATTGCCTTCACAGCCACAAATGGACTCATCTCCCCTAATTTTCTCGCCCTCCTTCTATCAGTCTGGCTGCATGTAGCTTCTGGCTATGCAGGAGCACGTCGGAAAAAGAGCTTCACCATCCTTGAAAGGTCAAATCATCAAGTTCAATACACGCTGCATCTTACAAGCAGGAAGCATATGCTCCTAATTTTCATTCTCGAAAGGTTCAACCTGATGTCAATTTGACAGAGTATTTCCTGTATCATGGGTAATACAACTCTGCATTTTTCATCCAATTTAGGGTCTTTTTCTTTAAGTACAAGTATGATCCAATTTCAATCTTACTGCAAAAGGATGATGGATATATATACATATATATGTGTGTGTATCTGTATATACAGATACATATATATCTTAATTGTTTGAGGTGCCTCGGAACTAATAGATTAAAATTTCTGGAATATTTTGGCTTTGGCTAAGTCAATGGCTACATGACTTTTCTGCTTGAACAATTAATAATAAATATATAAAAATTTCTTGGATATTTCCTTTCAACCTTCACGCATATACATGGGTATCATACATATATATATATATATATAGGGGCAAAGAATAAAACGAACCAGAGAAAAACAGCAAGTAGAAAAAATAAGGGATAAACAAACTCTCCCAATTTACGTCGCCGCCGCGTATGTGGATACATATATATGTATGTATCCGTATGTGTGTGTGTGTGTGTATATATATATATATATTATATAAAAAAAAGAAAAAATGGAAGGACGAAGGAAGAGAAAACGGAGACACAGGAGAGAAGAAAAGAAATGGGTTAGTAAAGTTAGAAAGATAATTTCAATATTTAAATGGGTCAATATAAAAGTCAAAGGGTAAAAATGTCAATTCATTATCATTAGGGTGTCTTTGGTAACTATATGAAACTTGAGAGGGTGTCAATGTCCCAAAATAGGCTAAGTTTTATGTGTGTGTCTTTTTGGCAAATCTCAGGGGGTGTTATTGTACTTTACCCTATTTCTAATTTATCATTTCTAATTTTTGACCTACATACCCTTCTCTGTTCAATTACCAAATTTATCCCTGAGCAATGTTAACAATTACCCAGGAATGGCATATTCACGACAACACGACACGAGTTAAAAGAGTTTGGGTTTGATATAAACAGGTTTATGTCATAAAAGGGTCGACACGATTAACCCGTTTACTTAACTATATCTGGTTAGGATTGAGGGGTTCAACCCGTGTAATCCGTTTATGACCCATTTATCTCAACATGTTATAATCATTAATATGAACTATGTAATATGTTACATGCGTTAAACCCAATTACTATGAATAATTAAGTCATTTCAACATAAAACTTTGTCTATGTTTTTTTTTGAATATTTGGGTTAATTATGACAAATTTTTTTCTATTATTTAGTATTTGATTAAATATTAAATGTCTCATTTTGATAAACATGTCATTAAACGGCTTAACACGTTTACTATTTAATAAACGGATTGGGTTAATATTGAGAATTATTGACAAGATTATTAAATGAGTTGGGTTTGAATTTATTTATTTAGTATAATACCCTTACATTAATACGACACAAAACACGACTCATGAATAGAAATTGCCACCCTTACGCAGTTGCTTGCTTCACATTGTAGCTTAGTGACAGCCAAACACAATCAATTGAATCGACTCATATAGGTAATTTTGTCACCTCTTAAAATTTATCACAAACTCATATGATTATATACAAGGGTGTTCAAAAAATCCAGTAAATCGAAAAATTAGACCAGATCGTACTGAATTGGGCGGTTTGGGTTAGTTGTATAGCGGTTTGGTCCTGTTCTAGGCCTAAAATTATGGAACCGTAATTTTTTGGTCCAGTCCTGGTTTAGGGTCATGTTGGACTGGATCAGCCCGGATCGAACCGTTACAATATTATATTATATATATATATATATATATATATATATATATATATATATATATCATATCCTAAATCTAAATCAAGTAAAATTCTCATGTGCCTCTTTTCTTTCTTTTGTCCTTTAAATTCATTAAATTTCTTTTTAAAAAAGTCAAATTTCTATTTTCAAATATATCTTAATTTTCTTTCCTTTATTTCTTCTTTTAATTCTTTTTTTTTTTTTTTTTGGGTTTTATATCAATGTTAGTTGATTTTTTGTTTTATTTATTATTATTATTATTATTTTTAAAACTTTGCCCCCTCAAAATTAAAATAAATTAAAAAGGAAATCAATTAAAACCGACAAACTGAACCGAACCAAACCGGTTTTTTGCAGTTTGGTTTGGTTTGGTTCCATGGACATTATAGTTCGGTCTGATTTCAAAAATAGTAGAACTATTATAAATGCTTTGGTCCCAAAATACTCCCAATCCGATCCAAACCGGACCGTATGCGGCCCTAATTATATATGTATTATATTTGGGGTGAATTGTAGAAAATTCCCCGGTTAGCAAAAAATTCCCCTAGACTATTATGAGGGGTATTTTAACTGCTTTTAAGAGCAACTCCAATGGTCTTCTATATTGGGCTCTCAAACTCATAATTTGAGAGATGAGTGAAAAACAGGTTCTCCAATGGCCTTTCATTTGGCCTCTCAAAATTTGAAAATCTCATTTTTTCTCTCAAATGTAAGAGTTGCAAAATTTTTTTGGCAAGTCTGTTTAATGGCTTACGACGCCGTTTCTTCACATCTCAGTCGACCCTTTCTCTCTCATCTGTAACAACCCTTTCCCTCTCATCTGCAACGTACCCTTTCCTCTCATTTGTAACAACCCAAGATGCTGCTCAGCCGTGGTTCTGGGTGGTCCAATCGTGGCTCTCTTCGCCGTGGCCGTGGTTTTAGGTTGTGGCATGAGCTTCGGTGAAGAGGGCGGCAGGGATCGGAGTTCGGATGAATATGATGAAATAGTAACGCCGATATAGGTTTTGATATAGGTAATAGGTTTTGAACTTTGGATTCTTGCAGACAGATAGATTCTATTGGCTCAGCAGCTCCAATTGTCAGCCTTGAAAAAGGAAATGAAAATAATCCAAATACCAGCACTGAGGGTTCTGATCCCATGAAGACACCTGCAGTAGTAGATTCCTCAGGTCTTTTTAGCCTATTGGTGGGATGGGGTGGTAAGATGAACTGAAATATATGGGTTTTGAGCTTCTGATTCTTATAGATTTTGTAGTTTACAGTTGGAGAGAAAGAGAGAAAAATGGCAAGTTCTCAGATGGAGGTGATATGATTTACCCTAAAAATATATATATTTTTAATAATTATATAATCAAATATATATAATATACACACACATATATAATATATATATATATATAAAGAAAAAAAATTTATATAAAAAAATGAATTCACAAATAGTGGTAAAAAAAATTATAAAAATTTTGTTTTTTTATTTTTGTTCCTTTTTTGACCCGATATTTTAGATTTTTGCACTTTTTTAATTAAATTTAATTTTAATTTCTTTCTAATATATAAAACTTAACTTGGAATGTGCTTAATATTAATATTATTGATGCAAATATGAATGGCAGGAATAGTAGTTGAAAAAGAATGGTGGTTGTGTCAAAAAATAACATTTTGCACCATTGGATTAGAATTACTAAAATTGTAGCATTTTGACATCTAGCCCATTGCAAAATATAGATTTAGCATCCAATTTAGAATTTTACCATTTAGAGATGCTCCAAGGGGTTATATTTTGGACGAAAATCTCCTTAAACAGTTCAATAGTTTTTGTTTTTTGTTTTTTGTTTTTTGTTTTCCTACTCTCTCTCTAACCTCTCAATCTCCTTTCGCCACCATAACCCACCTCCGCCACTGCCACTACAGTCCATTCCATCCAACCCTTCTATATCTCTCCACTCACCGCCGCCGCCACCAGCAAAATGGAAATTGGGCTTTTGTAAGGTTTAATTTATTCATGTCACTTACGAGTCAATGTTCCTGGACATATAATGAGATGCGTAGACCACTCAGCTTCAGACCTTCCATAGTTCAGACCTTCTCCACACATTTGCACACAGGTTTCTCTGATATTAGCAGAAAAATCACCACTCACCCATCTTTCATGGCAAGCGTTTCGACCCAACAAGAGCCCGTTTCGACTCAGGATGGGTCGATTCAGAAGACCCATCAACCCTTACAGGTACACCCATTTGGCATTCTTTGATTTAAGCTTGATTTCATGCCATTTTCTTGATGGGTGTGTTTTGAATTGTTAAATTTTTTTAGCCCTTTTTGTGATTTGGTCAAATGGTTGTGTAATTGTGTTTCTTCATGTTTGTAGATTTTGGTTGTGTTTGCTTTTTCTGTCTCTTTCTTATCTGCCTCTCATTCCAAGCTTTGTTCACTTTTACATAGGCATAACCTTTTCAATTTCTTCTTTTTCTGAAGTAATTAATAGATGTTTCGCACAAATTTGCAATTTCCTTGGGTTATTAGTTTATATTGAAGTGAATTGATTTGATTCCTAATTTGTGCGGCTTTATGTTACCACATCATTATTCTCACAGTATAGACTGAAAGTGAGGCACACCAAATGCTTATGGAGAGCAGAACAGTTGAGAAATTGTGTTTTTGGATATTGTTATTCCTTTCAAAAGCCCAATTTCCATTTTTGGTGGTGGCGGCAGTGGTGAGCGGAGAGATATAGAAAGGTTGGATGGGGTTGGATGGAGGTAGATTGTGGTGGCAGTGGCGGAGGTGGGTTGTGGTGGCGATGGTGGGATGGAGGAGATTGAGAGGTTAGAGAGAGAAAGTAGAAAAAAAAAAAAAATTTGTTAGAACTGTTTAAAGGGTATTTTCGTCCAAAACATAACCCCTTAAATAGACCCCAGTTAAAATACCCTCTCATGATAGTTGAGGGGTTTTTTTTGCTAAAACAAATTATAAGGGTTTTTTTTTTTCTAACTGGTGAAAGTCGAGGGGGATTTTTTGCAATTCGCCCTTATATATAAGTCGAGTATATTTGATTGCATTGAAATTTGATTGTTTATTCTCAAATTCTTATGATGCATGTTTTATGTTTGGCAAAATGCCCAGGAGAGCTAGTGCGGAAGAATTTTAGATGAATGGATGCATCAATGTGCCATTTTATATCAAGAGGCGCTGCTGCCACATTATTGTAGTTTCAAAACTAAGTTCCTTCTTTTGCACAATGGTTATGTATTCAGTATGATGATTCTGATTGTCCCTTCTCGTTATCTGCTTCTGTGCATATTCTAGTTGCATCTTGTCATTAATGCTCTTTACAATCCTTGTAGTGGTAGATGGTGGTTGGAAATTTTCTGAACCCCCCTTAAGAGATAGCTGGGAAGATTTTGGTGTGTTAAAAAGCTGAAGTTATTTGGGACATGAATGCAGTAAGGTGTCATGGAAGTTGGAGTAGCAGAATAAGTTAGTGATGCGTATTTCTGATTGTATGTCTACATACTTTTTCACTAAATAGTAGCACTTTGCCTTTGCTTAACAGTTGATTTATTTTTTCACTTGCTTTTACCTTGCAGAAAAACCAAAAGAGTTGCAACTTGATTTCCTCCTCTCTCAAATAACTTCCAGAACATTTACTCACATGAAGTTTTGTTTTTGTCTTCTCCTTTCTGATGTGTTGGATCCTCTATAATTTTATTGCTAAATACTGAGCAAAGTTTTTCATTATTTTGCTTCCTAAAACCATATAACAATGTTAAAGAACTTGGAATCCATACTGCGAGTTACCGGCAATAATATTACTTGTAGCATTCAGCCACTTCTTCTTCCTTACTTCAAGAATGAACAGTCAAGCAATGATTATATACGCTACTTGTGCAAGCAAAAACTTTTCAAAAAGGCTCTTGAGGCATTTGATTACTTGCGAAATAATACGAAATTTGACGTAAAGGTTAGCACCTATGCCCATCTGATCTCTGCCTGCTCTTCTTTGAGATCTCTAGAACATGGCAGAAGAATTCATAACCATATTCTGGCATCCAACTGTCAGCAAGACATGATTCTTCAGAATCGCATTCTTATCATGTATGGAAAATGTGGGTCACTGAAGGATGCTCAACAGATTTTTGATGAAATGCCTGAGCGAAACGTGGTTTCCTGGACTTCAGTAATCACTGGGTACTCACAGAATGGCCGAGGAAATGATGCAATTAAATTGTATTTTAAAATGCGGCAGTCAGGCCTTCTGCCGGATCACTTTGCTTTTGGAAGTATAATAAAGGCTTGCTCAAGCTTGAGTGATTTCGAGTTAGGGAGGCAGTTGCATTCACAAACCATCAAATCAGAATGTAGTTCCCACCCGATTGCACAAAATGCTCTAATTGCAATGTACACAAAGTTTGGTCGAATAATTGATGCATTTGAGGTGTTTTCTCATATTGCTATGAAGGATTTAATCTCATGGAGTTCGATGATTGCGGGGTTTACGCAACAAGGTTATGAATTAGAAGCCTTGGACCATTTCAAAGAGATGCTCTCTCAGGGTGCATACCAGCCAAATGAATTTATTTTCGGCAGTGCTTTTAGTGCTTGTGGCAGCCTGCTACAACCAGAATATGGGAGGCAGATACATGGGATGAGTATAAAATATGGGCTAGAGAGAGATGCTTTCACTGGTTGCTCCCTCAGCAACATGTATGCAAAGTGTGGTCTACTGCATTCTGCAAGAACTGTATTCTATCAGATAGATCAACCTGATTTAGTGTCATGGAATGCCATTATTGCAGGGTTTGCTTATGGTGGTGATGCTGGCGAAGCCATATCATTTTTTTCATCGATGAGACATCTGGAGTTGACCCCAGATGACATCACAGTTCGGTCCTTACTTTGTGCTTGCACAAGTCCATTTGGTCTCTATCAAGGTAAGCAGGTGCATTCCTACATTATTAAGATGGGTTTTGATTCAGATGTCCCAGTGTGCAACACTTTACTTACCATGTATGCAAAGTGTTTGGAAGTCTGTGATGCATTTAAGATATTTGAGGAGATTAAAAACAATGCTGATTTGGTTTCTTGGAATGCAATTCTTACTGTTTGTATGCATCACAACCTATCTGAAGAGGTTTTCAGAATATTAACATTGATGCGTATTTCTCACAATAAGCCTGATCACATCACTTTAGCTACCACACTTGGAGCTTGTGCAGAAATGGCCTCTTTGGAAATGGGAAATCAAGTTCATTGCTATACCATGAAAACCGGAGATGAGCTTGACCTCTCTGTCAAGAATGCATTAATTGACATGTATACAAAGTGTGGATCCCTTGGAAGTGCTCAAAAGCTCTTTGATTCCATGGAAAATCCTGATGTCGTCTCTTGGAGTACTTTGATTGTGGGATATTCTCAGTCTGGATGTGGAGAAGAAGCTCTTAAGCTCTTTGGTAGAATGAGAAGTTTGAGTGTTGAGCCTAACCAGGTAACATTTGTTGGGGTCCTTACTGCCTGTAGTCATGTTGGACTTGTAGAGGAAGGGTGGCAGTTGTACAGAACCATGGAAATGGAGCATGGGATTACACCGACAAGAGAACACTGTTCATGTGTGGTTGACTTGCTTGCTCGTGCTGGACGCATAAATGAAGCAGAGGACTTTATCAATCAAATGGAAATTGATCCTGACATTGTGGTGTGGAAGACTCTGCTATCTGCCTGTAAGACCCGTGGAAATCTTGAGGTTGGAAAACGCGCTGCGGAGAGTATTCTAAAAATTGATCCTTCAAATTCTGCTGCTCACGTGTTACTTAGCAACATATATGCTTCCAGTGGCAGTTGGGATGATGTTGCCAGACTGAGGAGCTTGATGAGACAAAGGGGTGTCAGGAAAGCTCCAGGTCAGAGCTGGATTGAAGTTAAGAACAGGATCCATGTTTTCTTAGCTGAAGATGGTTTGCATGCAGAAAGGGACAAAATATACGCCATGCTAGAAGAGCTGTGGTTGCACATACTGGATGCTGGATATATTCCATTACAGAAATAGGTTTCAACTGAATAATTGCAGTTGTAACAACAGCAATACAGTTATATCCAGCTCTTCAGGTTTTTTTGAAGGAGATCCTTGGTTTCCGGGAGGTTCCAGTTTAAACTGGAATTTCTATAAAGGTACGGACTACTTTATCATATCTGGCTATGGCTTCTAATATCGGTAATTCTGGAGATTTGTAGACGATGGTTAGAATTTTTATAAAAGTTGAAACTTGAGGCTCTACTTATGAAGCACAAAGATGATGTCTATGCGTAAAAAATGGAAGTGAGAGAAGTATCTTAATGAAATAAAGAAAAGAAGACTTGGGTTAGGGTTTGAGGGCAAGACAACAATTGTCAATTTGTGGAGTGGAATGACTCCTATGCGATCAGTTCGTGCGCTAAATTTTACTTGTTAAATAACTGCGCAGAAATTGCTTCATATGCAGAGTAAGTTATATATTCTCTATGTATTTAATACTTTATTTATAAATTTTGAAATGTATCGTAATATCACTTAATTGTTTAGTGCACACAAGGCTGAACTTGAGAATGAAAACAAGGATAATGTACAATTAAGACACGCAAAAGAATTTTCGAGATGGTTGGGAACACAAGTAAGTCCTAAATGAACTTCATACCCCTATTATTTGTTTTAAATGTGGTATCCCTATGCATTTATTTAATGTTCTAATTTTTTTTAGTAGATAAAGGAAGAGCGTCATCGTCAAGAGTTAGAAATTAGTGATGACCTGTATTCATTAGCTTGTGGACCCGATTTTCAGATAAATTGATATTCTGGTTGTATTGTGAATGGGGTCAGGTTTCATACAAAGGAAAGGGAGAAATATCGAAAAAACTTAGAATAGTGGTGTGTTAGTCAAATCAGAGGACATTGATTACTATGGTGTCTTGACAGATGTCATTGAGTTACAATATCCTCTTAAGAGACGGGTAATCCTATTTAAATGTGATTGGTTCAACACAAGGACATGTATTAAGAGGGATACTTATTTCAAGAGCGTAAATGTAGCCCGTAAATGGTACAAAGATGAGCCTTTTGTGTTGTCTAATCAAGCAAAACAAGCCTTCTTCGTCAAAGACACCAAATTACGTGGCGCGTGGGAGGTCATTCAAGATATAACACATAGAAGCTCGTATGATGTTCCCGAAGTGGAGGATAACAGTAGAGTTGAGGATGAAATGTATACTACAACATATCAAAAGGACTAACCATGCGTTGTGGATATGGTTGTTGAGGCGACCAACTTTGACATGGATCCACCAACTTTGAATAGGGATGGCTTGGAGGTTGAAAGTCTTGATGCTGAAATAATTCTACAAAGTAATCAAGAATCTCGTCATGAAATTGACTCTTTTGACAATGATGATGAAATCTTCATTGAAGACAGTTCAGACGATGAAGAAGAAGATGATACTGATTTGGATTAAATGTGAATTTTTTTTTTTGTGTTTTTTATTGAACCCATGCAAATTGAAATGTTGAAGTTGGTTAAATTTGTCTTCAGTATTTAGCTTTGAGTTTTAGAATACGTGTTTTATTTTTTTGAGTTATTATTAATCTCTTTTGCAGTCACGTGATCTAATTTTTTTCTTTCTTTTAATTATCTATTGTTTGGCTATTTTGATTCTTTCCTTTGCTACTTAATTTTTATTTTCTTATCTATCTGTTTCATAACATGTTATAAAAGATTTGATTCTCTTATTGCTGTAATCTACTATGGCGTCCAATCGTCGATCCTTGAGATCCAACAATGACCCCAAAACATTCATAGATCTTCCCAGCCACAACCAGCAGTGGAAGATGATTATTTATGATCTTTACATTTACGAAATTTGTCCTTACATTTGAACTTGGTCCCAAAATACTCCTACGTGTTACTCTCATGAATTTCATTTTTCAGGTCCTTCAAGAAATGTTAAGAGGCGTGGCAAAGCTGTAAACCAAAAAAAAAAAAAAAATTGAAATTAAAAAGCGCAATGGGGGGATTGTTCCGATTAAGTTTACAGACGGTTATTTGAAACTAGTGGAGGAAAATTCAGATATTTGGGAGAGAGAGCTTGGGATGATTGCTCGTGAATATATACCACTATGCTATGAGACTTGGCCAGAGGTCCCAGACTATCATAAAAAGTTCTGTTACACTAAAATAATGGTCTGTCTTGCTTTAGCCATATCTTACTTAATTCCTTTATGCTACCATAACGTATAATTTGTTTTGTAAATTTTTAGTTTATACTATTTTAAAAATTGGTTTTCAAAGTCAGTCAGGAGGATTAAGTGCTGTTCATTCTTTAGAGTACGTCATAATTTGTTCAACATTCTCTCTCTTGTAGCAGTGAACTTGAACTTAAGATTTTCTTACTTTCACGTGTATACTTTTGACACTAGTTTGTAATTAGAGTGGTGATTTACTTTGAGTTCTTTCTGAAGTGTTGAAATAATCACAACCTTCAATTCAATTGAAGCTCCTTGGCTATGTATTTTAGCCGGGAGATTTTCATTATAATCTGCTTCTTGTTGGGTGTTTGAAAAGGATTGTGTTTTGATTATTTACTAATGGAATAGGATGAAAGTTCTATTTATTTTGCTTTTTATTGGGAGATTTGCTTACAAAGATGGGTAGCTGACCATATATTCATGAATTTTGCTGCTTATACTTCTTCTAAATGACATTTGTTTTTGGCTTATTCATGTGAAAAATAAAGGAGTAATTCGGAGTTGACTGCAATTTTAATGAAAAAGCAAAGAAGGGTGCAAATCTCTCATTGGCCATTGCTCATAGAAAGTACATGAACCGTTTGAAAGATCATTTTAACAAGTACGAGACAGGAGAGTGCACGCCGCAGCCCACACTCTCGTGTAACCTACGAGGACTGGCAAATCATGTGCGATAGGTGGATGACAGACAAATTTCAGGTTAGTATAAACTACCTAGTTATATGTCTTTTTATTAATGCTTCTTTCTTTTCCTCATTTGTTTATTTTTTAAATTACATTGTAGGAAATTAGTGCTAGAAACAAAGAAAACAGGGGAATGGTAGAAATGTTACATTCTGCTGGGTGAAAGTCCTTTGTCAAAATTCATTATGAGTTGGTAATATATAACACAATACTTTGTTTTTATTTATGTATTTTGTTCTCATTCTACAACCATACCTTGTAATGTGTAAAAAAATTACAGAAAGAAGCTGATTTAAATGATGAACATAGCGGTGAAGACGATGAACATCATCTCGAAGGACCTGCCATCAAAATGTACAAGAAAACACATTACAAGGAAGATGGTGGATGGATTCATGATGATGCTTGCAAAACATATTTGAGTTTTGAATTTTTTTCCCCATAGAAATAATTGTCAGGTTTTATTAATTTCGCTGGGATTTTATCATGCTTTCTTTTATGAAAAAAAAAAAGAGATTATCTTTCCCTTTTTTTTTTTTTGTGTGTGTGTGTATATGAAGTTGACCTTAAAGTCAGTTGGTGATATATTTACTTCTCTATATTTACATTTTTTTTTTTTTTTTAGCGTAGGAGTTGGGATTTTGGAAAAGTCTGATGTAGATTGGTTTTATCCCTTTAGTGGGAAGGGTTTAAATTTTGCTAACAGAAAATGGTTTAAAGGTATGAATGAACAAGTAGAGATATGATTTTAAATCTCACCTTGAATGCTATGTTTTTTAACTTAAACCAGTGGCTTTGTCACTCTTATATGACATATTTAAATTCCAATATGCTTCAAAAGCACTTTGTGCATCTCATGCAAATAATCTTAAGGTAACTTTTGTATTCATCTCATGCCTTCCAGCACCCTGGGTTGACCAGACCAACATAATGATATCGTAGGCACATCCATATTTGAATAACCATATGATATCGTAGTATATACCTAAATATTTTAGTAATGAATTGAACTTGTGAAGATGTCACTCCTTTCTACAGAGAAAATTTTCTGTTTCCTTCGAGGAAGGAAGGAAGGGAGGGTGGGGGGAAGGGAGGTGTGTTTGTGATAGTATATGGACTTAATTGTTGGATATTCATTCATCTTGAGAATGTGATGGTTCTAGTTTTAATAAGTTTGTGATATAGTATTATAAATATTTTAGTAATGAGTTGAACTTGTAAAGAGGTTATTCCTTTCTGCAGAGAAAATTTTCTTTCTTGTGTTTCCTTCAAGGAAGGAAAGGAAGGGAGGTGTGTTTGTGATAGTATGAGTGTGTTACAATATCATTATTACCCTTGTGGCAAATTGTGAGGAATGCATCTATTGATGGTTTGATTGTTCAAGGTAATCTCTATCTCCCACTTTCATCCCCAGGGAAAATGGGAAAAAAATTAGTGGACTGGTCCAGCCTTCAACTTTATTTTGCTATTTTCGGAGTGTTTTGTAAATTTGTCACCCTTTTAAAACCATTTCTTAGGCTATTATGGATGCTTCTTTGTTTCAGTTAAATTGCAGTGAAATAGAAGGGTATGTCCCCAATTTTTTTTTTCCCCAGATTTTAGTTGCCTTCTTTAAGTTGTCTTATTTGTTACAAGGATAAATATATTAGACTGAATTCACCTTAGTTACCAAGCAGATTTAGGAGGGGTTTTTGTTTGGTCCATGAAGTGTTGAATAGTGGCTTTTTTGTTATAGGGATAAATATACTTCAACTGAATTCACATTAAACCAAACAGATTCAGATTTAATTTTTTGTTTAGTCCAATAAATTATTCACAACAAAGTGGTTCATAACTTTGTTTGGGATTCTGTTTCTTGGATATAGAATGATTCTTAGTGATGTTAGCAGCTTTTGAGAATGTCATTTTGTTTGCTGGACTAATTTTTTTCCACCATAGATTTGAGTTTTCATTTTTCAAGTGCAGATTGAATATGAGATTAAGTTCAAGTTTTGATGTTCTAGTTTTTTGATTGAATACTCGTGTTTGATATGACCATGTGCATTTTCAGTTAGAAGTTTATGTCCCGTACCAGCTTTTGTTTAATTGGCGTATGAACTAGTACAAAATATTATTGATGCATCTTTCAGAGTACTTACTGTAGTATTACATATGCTTATATATAGTTCTAGCATCTTGATTTTAGTAAAAGTATGATGTGTTGGTGGATGAGTGGTGAAAATTTAAAGTAAAGTGCTTTGTTAATTATAGTATGATGTGTATGGAGATGGCTGATAATTGTTCTTCATTTAATTTACTTCATTGATTTTGCAAAATGCAGGACAAAATGGTGGCCCAATCATTAGATCCATCTGTTTATGTGGATGCTAGTAGTTCAGTCCCGGTGGAGAGCAGATTTTGGAGAACTGTCTTGGAACAGGAAAGGGTACATATTTTCGTGGCTTCGGTTATGGAAAGAAGGCTCCAACAGCATCCTCAAGTCGTATGAGGATGACAAATGCAGAGTGGGAGGCAGAGTTGGAGGCTGAAAGGAGGAAGGTTAATAGAGCTGAACAAAAATGTGATGAAATGATGGAGTCAAGGCAACTGTGAAAGGTATTTTGGAGATTTGCTTTTAATTAAAATTCTTGTAGTGCGTGTAAAGGTACTAAAAAGAGACTAAAATCCCCTCCAGGGCAGTGGAGAGTATCAGAGTCCATTGAAAAGGGTGGGGAGACTCCTCATTTGAGACCAAGTAATGAAGAGTTACATATTAGACGTGTGTAATATATGAAAATAAAATTTCCAATTTTTGGAATTGCAGAAGGCACTTTTTGAAAACTTGACAACATGTGATTAACATACCTTGGACATTGAAGATGTGATTTCTTTGTAGATTGGAAAAAAAAAAAAAAATGGTTAATTGCATGTTTATATATTCAACTAGAGTGGAAGTATAATTGTATCTTTATCTAGTCAACAAGAGTGATTATTGATTTTCGTGTATTAACTAATCGGATATTATAAATTCCATGTTATAGTCTATTGGATCAAGTTATTAGAAAGTTTTATATATATATATATATATATATATATATATATATATATAATATATTGCTTTGTTGTGTCATTGCCATGTCCATGTCATAATGCTTAGGAGTAGTTGTGTTGACATGCCTCTCGTGTCAGTGCCTTGCTTTATAGGTGTCCCATGGGGTGGAAATATTCTCACAAGCTCAATTGATAACTTAAAGCTAAGATGCAAATTTACACGCATTTTATCAGACAAAATTATAGAATTTAGTTTATTTTGTATCGAGTGAATCTGTAGGAAGTTTGGTATTTCATATTTCATGATCTGAAGTGCTCTCATTTTGTTTTTGGCATGTGAATTGCTTCCAATTTTTGGAGTAGGATTTTATTTTTGGCTGTGAGAAATATATTGTCAGACATTCTTCTCTGGATAATTTGTCAAGAAAAATCAGCCCCATTTGGTGGGACTATATTTAATATTTGGACATTTCTTTAATGGACAATAATTTTCAAAGTGAAAAACTTAACTGACTAATCAATGCGAATGGGAGTTTGGGTTAATTGACCTACTTTTCAGCTTGAATTACATTACTCCTTTAAAAAGAGCATAGCTGGATACTTACTGCTATTATGTAATATTGATGAAAAAACAGTTGGGGCTGTTTCTACTATGCTTTTGAATCACTGGTATAGTTGGATGGTGGTTTTATGGCATTGAAATCGTATTGCAGCATCAAATGGTTGATGGATGTTGTTAGTGCTGTCTTTTTAGTAGGTTAGACAAACACACAATCTCACACACACACACACACACACACACTATTGCCCGAAAGGGAACTTCAATCCTCAGCCTCCCATGTGGAAGGAGGGAACACCGCTCGAGCCTTATTCAGTGCTGAAGGAAAGCAAGCAAGAGGAGAAAAATCAATGAATGAAACGGAAATTGAATTCAAGAATGGGTTCTTTTTTATGGTTTTTGTTCTTGTAAATTGGAAAACACAATTCACTTCCTATGCCTGATGTGAATGCAAAATCTGCAAATTACAATTGCTAAATTGCTTTCCTTCCTTCTTCAGTGAGACCTGATTTGACAATTTGTAGTTTGTTACATAGAGAATGCTTGTGTTAGCCTTGGTAATTTTATGTATTTGGTTTGTCTGGATTGAGCTTGTATTCTTCTAATACACTAAAATGCATCTTAATTAGATAAAACATGGGCTTTATCTTTAGAGAGTGCTACTTAGGTCAAGGAGTTAAACAGAATTCCTTGTTCTATCTTCCCTTAAAGTTAAGATCTTTTGCTAAAACCCCCATCATTATTTAGATTTTCTTACAAATAAACTTGATTTACACACAAAGTTTTAAGAACTTTCACTACATTTACTCAGTTATCGAGAAAATATATATTACTACTAGTACTAGCATAACCATAATCTTCTTAACCCTCAATCTCACCACTGGCAATAAAATTACAGTAAATTTTTTACTAATATTATATTATGAAAAAAAACGTATCATATATATGAAACATACGAATTGGAGTTTGAAAGAAAATGTATTTTATTTAAAGTGTAGACCAACTAAGCTATGAAATAGGAAGTGGTGGTTGTGCTAATGAATTGCACATGAGAATTCAATTTTTTTTAGTAGAGTTACTCTAAATTTATTAACCGAATACACTTCATTGATAGTTAATAAATTTTTTATAACTCCTTAGCCTTAGAAACAATATATATATATATATATATATATATATCGGGTAAAGTACAAAAAATTTCTGTGAACTATATTCGAATTTTCAAGTAACCCCCTAGAAATATATTTTGTGCATAATATCTCCATAAACTCTCACATTTTGTTACAAAATATCTCAATGCCTAGACAATTTTCGTCAAATGATCATAATGTTCTTTATTATTGAATTGCACTTAGTCTATTTTTCTTATTGAAATAAATTGTGAAAAAAAATTCATACTAATTTGATGATATATTCTTCATTAAATTTGTAAAAATTTACCTTTAATTTTTTAAATTAATTGTTTAGATAAAAATCTTAAGTAGAAATTTTAAAAAAATTTAAGTAATTTCTTAATTTTTCATGAATATATTGCATTAGAAAGAAGACATTTTTTATTTAAGTAATTTATCAATTTTTTATGAATATATATTGCGTGAAAAAGAAGGTATTTTTTGCGGTAAAAAAAGTTTAACTAAGTATAATAAGTTTTATTATAATTTTAAAGTTTTAATAATAGGTTAATCATTTAAAAAACGGTAGTTACAAATCTATTTTTTTCTTATTTTTATGGTAAATTGACAGTAATAATAAAATTAAGGTAAATTGTATAATTAATGTTTAGACAAAAAAAAAAAATTTAATAAGAAATAACAAATTTAATGAGAAAAGGTAAAATAATATTTTGTGAGAATTTGTCCTTACGACAAATTAATAATTTAGAGGAATAATTTATAATTTAGAGAAATTATTTATAAAAGTACAATAGTTTTGGTAAGTTGATAAAATACGACTTTGGCGGTAAATATTGGAGTCCGATTAAAAATTGAAAAATGGCTCCAAGCGGGAAGCACGTGAGTGCACCAGAAAGAAAGGCAAGAGATGAAGACCACGCTCACGCGCCTTCGCAACACGTGTATGTACGCACAATCACAACGTGTCCTAACACTTTTTAAAAGAGTACCTCTCAGCTTCAGTTTCTGTCGTCACTCTCCTTCCCCTTCTCTCTCTCTAGAATTCACTGCACATTGTTGCTGAATGTGACCCCTCTCTCACTTCCGAGTCCTCTCATTCATTCTCTCTCTAAATCAAACCCTAGTTCTAGCAAATCACAATGTGGCAAGTTCTGTTAGCTGCAGCGGTAGCAGGATCTGGGTTCTTTGCTAAACGAGTCCTCACCCTCAGTGCCGAACCACCCATTACTGAGTCGGAACAAACTCAGCAAAAATGTGATCAATCTACAGAGACACAACACTCTGACGAGTTTTCACTGTCCCAAGTTTCAATCCCTTTCAGTGAAGACCACAGCAATGAGACGCAGAGCTCAGTATCTGGTGAGTCATCATCGATCTTTAGGTTCTCGAGTCCCGGCAAAAATGGGTCTCGATTTGGATCGAAGAATTTGGGGAAGAAATCTCGAGGAATCAGGGGAAATGTGAAAGGGTTTAAGGGTATTGATGTTGGGAATGTTGAGAAGGAATGTGGGTTTGTGGATGGTGGTGATGGGGTTGTGATGGATCAGACGAAGAGTGTGAAGAGATTCCCCATTTGCTTAAAGAAGAGGCGAACTAGCAAAAATGCAATTGGAAAATACGAGTCTTGTTCTTCCAAAGGTTAGATTCTTGTTTTATCACACTCTTATGTTATAGAAATATGGATGTGTATTTATGACTGTATTTTTATGCGTGCATTCACATCTGTATATATATCTGTATGCGCATGTGAATATTCTGGGAAAAAAAACATTTGTATTGTAATTGTTATGTTTATGGAAATTACTGATGCAGTTGAACAAAGTTGGCTGCTTTAAGGTTGAAAGTAGCATTCTTATGCTTGTGTGAAGCTTTAAGTATTGCATCTAGCAATGGTCCCTTATATGTTTGGCAGATAAAAAAAAAAAAAAAGGCCTTTATAGAGTGCATGTCCCTCCAAGTCGGGTGCTAGAAGTGGAAGATGAAATACCTAACTTTTGACATTGTTTTTCCACAAAGTTCTTTACATGTTTGGCAAATGCAATTACTGAATTGGATACATGATGGAATTGTCTCTCAATTGAAATTAGTATCTGGCTAGAATTTCATCATAATGTAGGCCCTTAGGGTGCATTTAGTAACCAAATAAGAGGCTATATAGAATTAATGTCATTGCCCACTGTCATGTTCAATCTATTCTGTGGTTGGTGGTTTGGCCATCCCATTGATAATTAATACATACTAAACAATAATACAGTGCAATGTACAGGACAAGAGACTATTTGACCAAAATGAGGTTGTAAAAAAAAATATGTATTGGGCAAGAGTATCATGGTATTATGTTGTTTTTTTGTGCCAATTGAAACCTTAAGTGAGACACTATTAATGACGATACAGTGGTTTATATGTATGACACAGAATTATATTATCAATAGAAAATAGAAATGATTGCTCCCCAAAAGAATTTTAGCAGTTAGAGTTCTTGGACAACACTCTTTTGACAAATCGCACTCCAATAGCACTCTTTTGACACAAATGATTGTTCCCCAAAAGGTAAGCAACACTCTTTTGACAAATAGCACTCCAATTTTAGCGAAGAAGTATGAACAATTGTAAGGAGTATACCAATACCAATAATCCACGAGCTTGTTTATGAACACTTGTGTGAAGATATTCATCTTGTGAGTTGCTTCCATACCAATAATCCACGAGCTTGACAGCCAGCGTAAAACTGTCATGACCAATATGAACCAATAGTCCAAGAGCTTGTTTGTGAAGAGTATTTGCGGCATCTGTTGTCACATTAAGCAATTAATTTATGTTTCTGTGAGCTATCAAGTCTCTCTTTCAAATGCACATCACTGCATGGCACTGCTTTAGAAATCAATCTTTTGCTTGAGAATGTGAGAAATTCTTGCCAGCTGCTTGTTACTTTCGGTGGAATGGTATTTGCCTCATCCATACCATGAATATGAACCATGTTATACATGGGATTCCATATGATCACCTTTCCCTTAGTAATATAGGCAGAAATAGGAAATGTATATATTGCAATAATCAACTATTAAATGTATGGTGGACAAAGAGAGTTTGCTTGGCTTGGGGTCTTTATTGTTGTTGGCCTCCTTTTTGGTTCCTTTTTATATGGTGGACTTGGGGGTTCCACATATTGTATAATTCCCTGGGGCATGCCCTTTGTATTGTGTAGGGTTGCCCCATTGTTATGATTAATAAATCTCACTTTCTTACCCATCCAAAAAAAGGCCTAGTAAATGTATTCCATAGTCATCATTTCCAGCTCAATGGAAGTATGATATATAACAGGTAACAAAATTTTTAGTTGACTTGTACCCCTTTGGGTTGGCATTTGTTAGAGAGAACTGATCTACATTTTTGTTGAATGATAACAGTGAAAATGGTAATAAACTTTCATACGATCAATACTGATTTATTATGTCGTGAAACTATTGAAAATTTGAAACAGCTAGCCTTGAGCATTGTTTAGAGTTGCATAGCAAAAATACTTGTCTATGCTGTTGTTGGCTACTCACTCCTGGTTGACTTTGTTAGTTTACATTGATTAAGTCTTACTTTGTCCTTGAATTTGTGTTGGATTTGTATAGCATTTTGAAAATCTATGAGTTATTCACATTAATTTTGGTTGTTCTTGGTAGATAACTCAGGTTTTGGCTGGGGACTTGGCATTGGAATGATGTACATGATGTCAGCTGGGAAAGCTGAAATCAGTAGGCTGAACACAGCAATGGATGAAACTGCAAGAGTTGTCCAAGAATTAAAAACTGAACTTTCTAAAAGAAAATCATCGCATCTGCGTACTGAAGGTATTAGACATTCAAATAAAATCAGAGGCAAGCATGCTCAAACAGTTGTCACTAAATCAAGCACCAAGAATGGAGATGATACTGAAGTTTCTGGACTCCCTTCAACTGAAGAAGGTGAATATGCAAGTAGCGTTCTTACAGAGGAGCCACCACCAGAGTTGCTCGAAATGGATCAACTGGAAGCAGAGCTTGAGTCTGAACTGCAAAAGCTTCCTTGGTGCACTGAAGAAGTTCCTTGCTTTGAAGAAAGATCAAATATTTGTGAGGTGAGCTCAGTCTAGTATCTGTGCCCTTTATAATGGTGGATTTATCTCCGCAGTATTCGTAAGAGAAATTTTTTTGTGGCCTTTCTTAATCGAGAACTATAGTCTTGTGCATTTCGAGGATGAAATTATTTTCTTGATGCAATCAACCAATTGCCACCCAATAAACCTTGAAGTTGTTTTGGGTAGGTCACTAGGATCCTTCATATTGATATCAAGTGCAAAACACATAATCTGGCTGTTTCAATGGCCGATTCAAGAGTAAAACTGAACAAAAAGTAGGAGCCATAGAGAGAAAATCTTATCATAGCTTTATAAGCTGAAAAACCCCTAAAGAAAAGGAAAACACACACACACAAAAAAGAAAAAAAAAAAGAAAAAAAAGAAAAAAAAGAAAAAAGTGGATTAAGTTCTGCAGGTTTAGCTTCGATAGCAGCTATCATATTTCCAACCCGGATCAGACCAGTTTATCAATAATTTGTGAACCAAAAACAGCAATAAAAAATCCATAGGCCCTGATTCACATATTAAAACAGTTATTTCCCATCTTTTATTTAGCTATATTGTAATCTTTTTCTTCTTATTTTCTAAAAAATGGCTTTTAGAATTTTATTTTACTGCTTGTAATTCATGCCACTAGTAATTGTTGGTTTATCTGTGTGTTTTTGTGGAGGGAAAGTAGTTACTATAGGAAGCCTGGTAAAAGTTACTAGCAATTGTAGAAAATAAGCACACTTACTTTCAAACAGTCATAAAAATGCAAGCGCAAATCAGATACGAGACATAGGATCATTACGTTAATGTGCTCTCAGATTATCCCACAACCTGGAATTGGCATGGTAAAATGGCATATGCTAGTCTTATTGCTCCTGTACCATTGTGTTGTTTTTCCAGTTTACAAAATTCTCTCAGCTTGACTGAAAATATCTCACGTGTTGTACAGACTGAAGCCTTAGCTAAAGAGTTCATTGAACCAGATGGCCAGACTTCCTATTCTAATCCATTAAATGGTGTATTACCATCTGAACTGGATCAGAAATTAAGCCGCTTGCTCATAGAGCAACAGGAGAGCCAAATTGTGGAACTGGAGTCCGAGCTGCATCAAGCCCATTTCAAACTCCATGAGAAAGAAGCCGAACTCCAAGCCCTAAAGGATTGCGTCAAACGCCTGACTGAATTTTCTCTAGCAACTGCTTCAGGCAACAATGCAACATCCTTTTATCTCCATCAAAATCAGTGCTTTTTTCATTTCATTTTGTTAATAATGTTGGTTTCATGCATTCAATCTCAAGTAGTTAAAAACAAATCATCAAGCAGAATTAACTTAGTAATTTTGGAGGGCACTTTTGAAGCATTTATCTTGCTTTTGAGAGCAAAGTTTAAATCAAGAAAGTGCTTTTCAAATGCTATCAAAACGGTTTTTTTTTTTTTTGGTGGTTGTTGTAATTGTTGAAATCTTTGTGCAAATTAATCTGTCCTCTTTCCATGATGGCCAAGTTAGCTTGCTTTGTTAGTCTAACATTTACGTTTTCTTTCTCAGATGAAGAAACTGAAATCCAGGTGGAAAAAGAGAAGAAGAGTGGAGAGGATTATGACAAGAAGATGGTATTTGAGTCAAAGAAATCAACAGTTGGGATGAAAAGAGCAATGGACTTTGAATCTTACAAGTGATGCATAGAATGACAGTTTTTTCTCTACAAAGCAAGCTAGGGGGTAAGGTTAGTAAATGGGCAAGCATTGGATACCTTATGATTCTGTATACACAACATATGCTTGGGGCATAACTTTTAAAAAGCAGATAGCCTGTTTCTGACTACGCCCTCGTCACCTCAACATGCTAATAGAGTATTATATCAATTTTATATAACATTGTATACTTTTGTGCATATGTTTTCCAGTGTCTGGAACTTTTCTAAATTTCTTCAATGATTGATTCATAATTGACTTAGTCAATCGTTTTTGAGTGCTAGAAAAGAAGCCCTGAAGCCTTAGTTGAACTTCTTGCTTTCTTGTTGGGAGAGAGTAAATGCTAATTGGTCCACTCACATTATGAAGTTACTGGGTTACACTGACTTGGATGCCAAAAGTTGGTTTGAAATCAGTAGGGAAAGTTTTAGAAGTTTAAAATCTGTAGTGCTTGGTGGTTGTTTGTGCAGAAAGACAGGTAAAGGATAGATGGAGCCATGGTGGGTTCTTGTGCTTTTGCATCTTCCATCCTATTGATGACCCATTTGTTTTATAAATACACATATATATACATACATCTATATATATATACACATATACTGTTTTTGCTGCCCCCTGATCTCTCTCCAAACTAAGGTATGCACACTAGAGTGTAATTTCATTATTGTTAACATGACATAGCACACCAATTATATTCATGAAGAGCCATATGGACCCATTACGCAATAAAGTTTGGTTCGCGTGGAAGGACTGGTCTGCCTTTATGAGAGAAAGAGGGGTCATTTGAGCATCATTTGGTTGGAACATAATTAGGTAATCGTATCAAAAGGATCGGTTGATTAGATTACAATGTTTCACTTGGAAAACGATGTTCTTATCGTGGACGGTTGAGAGATTAACTCTGATGGATAGTTGAGATATGTTTTCACCTATCATGTCATATGACTCATATCATGTAAATTGATGTTTTTTATTTCTTTATAAAGTGAAGTTACCGTGATTTAAAATTTTGTATCAAGTGGCACTTCAAAATACACCTCAATTGGAACGAACAGGGCCAAATGAGTACAATTTTAAATTAGTGTGTGAATCTTTGTCAACCCTAGAAAGGGTCTTGTATTCCAATTAGGGTGGATATTGCATCATCACGTGGGACTCATTATTATTATTATTTTTTTGGATCCTGGCAATGTTAGGGGTGTTAGGAGTTAAAAGGGGGAATGGGGATCGAACACGGGCTCCTCAAATTAGAGTGAAAAATTCATTCATTGGCCAAACAAGCATGAACTCTATTTATAATCACTAAATTGAGACAGAACACGGGCTCCTCAAATTACAGTGAAAAATTCATTCATTGGCCAAACAAGCATGAACTCTATTTATAATCACTAAATTGAGACAGTCCTTTGAGATATGTAAAAAATTAAATGAGTTATTTAATAAATCTTTTAATTCATTGGTTAGACAATGAGAGCTCGTTATGATAGTGCTCTCGTAATAATTTTACTTTATGAAAAATATAAAAAACTTTAAAATTGATGACATTGTCACACTTGACCGTGAGAGGGTGTGTGGAGTAGTGGATTCATATACACCCTCCTCTCTTAGTCGGTAGGCTAGCATTGATCATATATATATATATAATTATAGATATGTTACCTAATTGAAACTGCTTGTTATCATAGATTCCTCGTTGACCGACTCTATTTTGTGGCTCAAAATTAAGATTCATATTTCCATTTTCCGTCTAGCAGCTCATTCAATTCCCAACCATAATGTATTGCACCAATCTATAATAAAATTTATCCAACTTTCACAATTAAATTTCCATAACATGATAAGCATAAGTCTACATAAGATGTTCTGGCATGGTGTGACCTGAGATATTATGAATTCAAAGAGCTTGATGATGAAAGAAATAGAGAGGAGAAGAGGGTAGTTGTATTTGGTGAACTCCAGCCAGAAGCTGCTAAATGGGATGTCCCTCCACTGGTATCATCTTCAATAATACACACAAGGACCATTCAAACCATTAAAAGACCGTTATAAAAGTGGTCCTGCCTAGATGAGGTGCAGGGAGGCAAAGACTGAAGATACACACTTAACAGTCACCATTGTTTTGCATAAATTGATTCTTTCGGATCTTGGCGTAACAGTAAAGTTGCTCTAATGTGACCGAGAGATCGCATATTTGAAACAGGAAGCAACCTCTTCGACTGGGTAGTCAGTCACTGCCTAGCTCTATCAATTGATTGTTCTTCTACTTGAGCATGGATCCTTTGCTGTAATGTATTGGTGTTGTAGTGATGCTGTAGTGATTTTCAACACCATTATATCTATTTTCAACATGTTTCACGTGTTGAAAAACAGATGTAACGTGTTAAAAAGTGTACAACACCACTATAAGTGGATTAGGATCTCCCCTGATTTCATGCTTGTCTTGTACTCAAGAATGATTGCTAGGGAACTAAAATAAAAACTGATGACCTTAAAGTCTAAGTATGGTTACACCACATAAATGTTCCAACACAACACATTGCACATCTACGTCAATTCCTGGCAACTAATTGCTGTGTTGATGCTGACGGTTTCAATTGCCAAAAGTTGAGCATAACCTTAACTGATCCCTCCATGCTTCTTCCGTGAACCCCCCATCACTTACCCATTCATTCTCAGCTGATCCATACCACCACAACAAAACAAGTAGCTTGTGATCCTCTCAGTTTTCTCGGCCAAGTTCTCTATCAGACCTCGAACCCTGTCCAAAGGGTTGAAGTACAAATAAACCCCAAACCCGAACAGGCTTCCAAGGACAAGTGATCAGCTCGGTTTTTGAATGCCATGGAGTTCAAGCCTAGCGTCACCGCCATCTTTCTTCTCTTCCTCCTCCTCGCCGTGCCTTGCCTTTCCAGAGGTTAGTAGTACCCTTATAAGCTGAGTGTATATAGGAACTTTTGTGACCATATCTTATAACATGGTTGATTGATTTGTGTTGTTTTTACTTAGGAGGATTGGATGCTTTGAATATGGATTCTGGGATTTATGATATTGATTATAGAGGTCCTGAGACTCATTCCCACAGACACAGAGCCTCTCCACATCCTAACGGTCATAAAAAAGGCGTTATGACACATCGCAAATCCAAAGGTTTTAGAGCTGGTGATGCAGGAGCAAGTGTAAGAACTAAGAACCTATATCTTCATACGCATCAAATGTTTATTTTTATAGGTAAGAACCTATATCTTCATACGCAACAATTTATTATTTTTATTTTCTTATTTTTTTGCAGGGGATGAAAATTCATGGATGAAGAAAAAAGGGGGTGATTGTGTTGGCATTAGTTTGGTTGAAGCTACTATTAGTTTATTACAGTTGAGTTCCCTTCTTTTTTTAATATAACAAGTGTGTTTAGAGACTAAAGAAGAATTTGTGTGTTGTTTTATTTTTCTAGTAACTTTTGAAAATGAAGATTGTGGGAAATATTTGCACTTTGAATTGTTGTAAGTTTGATTTAGCGAATCACAGATCTAGAAATTTGCCATAATTTCCATGAAAACGTGGTTCTGATTCCATTTTATATCTATAAGGTCATTGAGGAAATTTGGCTGTCGATGAGAATCAAGTTCAACTCTGAGAGTTGAATTTTGTGTAAAGATTAAAAATAATTATGTACTCAATTTGTCCAACTCAAGTTGAATTTTTTTTTTTTTTTTTTCTGAATTCTTGTTGATAATCGAATTTTAGTGATAAGTGACAAACACCTTTTTGATTACAAGATTTGATCACTATATGCATGACAAAAACCTGTAATAATTGCAGCATAAGACTATAAGAGTTATGGATTGACAATTTGCAGGTGTTAATTCATATATTATTGAATATCTGTATTAACTTAATAAAAGAAAAATTGTAGCCATGGAGAGGGAAAAAAAAAACCTTTTGTCAATAATTTGATTGTAAATCAAGAACTCTTTTCATCCTCAATGTCGTCTGAACAAGTTGGCTTGGCCTGTCGAAACTTTAGATTCTATTTATACTTATTTTTTGCAATCTCATTTATTTGAAATTTTATAAGCTCAGTTTGGTTAGATGGAAATAAGTAAGAAAAATGAAGAAATAGAAAATGAAAGAAAAAATGAAATGAATGAAAAAGAAAAGTTATTTTCTAGCATGCATTTCATGCACGAAAATTTATTCAAAAAAATTATAGAAAAAAATTAATTTATTATTTTGGATAGCATGAAATTGAAAATAAAATGATCTTATGATGTCAAATATTAAAAATATAAATGAATTTGTATTTGATGGTGTCTATTTTTGTCAAAGAAATAGTAAAATTTTGAAATATTAAATTTAATAATATAATTATTTATATTTATAATAAGACTTTATAATAAGAGAACCGAAACTAAAAAAAACAACGGAGATGGGGAAATTGATGGCAATACTAATTTAATTTTTGAGTGAAATTTGATTGTATGTTGTTAAAATTATATATGAACTTGTGGAAAAATAAAGAAAGAGTTGCTTTGCATAGAGTTTGTCTCTTTGAAATGGGTAAAATAGAAATGTTAAATAAAAATACACTTTTTCAGATAAAAATATTCAGAAAAGTTTTGAGAGAAAATAGGCAAGTATAGGAAACAAAGGCGAAACGTTTGGCAAAAGCTAACCAAGGCCAAAGGCAAATACACAGACAGTCCACATGCAAGCAACCCAATCAAACAGACCGGCCCATACAAACAGGACCCGTGGACATTCGCTATCGCAGAAACATTACTTTAAAGAAAATTGAAGTTTGAAACGTAGAGTTCCCAGAGGGTACAACCCTTCAAAAATAGGCTATATATATGATTTTCAGGACTTCGCATTTTGTGTGTGATTCATTGAGGCAACCATTGGTGCTAATTATGTGAACTAACTTGAATGATTTTTAAGCAAGCAGCAATAAAACAAAATTTTTTTTAATTTATTTATTTTTAAAAATAAAAATACTGAACTAAGAGTTGATGGGGTAGTTCCAAAAGGAAACACCCCTCCAAAAATGGGCGTATGCCGCTATAAAGTGACGAGCGCACGGTATTCTTTAGTAAAAGGCGAAAGAATAGTTCGCTTTGTGCTCATCACACGGCTTCGTGGTTTTCAACAGGTTTCAGAAGCTTGCATTATATAGCCATGAGGGTGGCTCGTTTTCACTTGTCATTTCCGATGTGGGAATGGAAATGACTTCACAGTTCACAGTAGTCATTTCTCA